ATTTTCTTCACGAGAGTGTTCACTCACTTCACCTCTCAGGGCTGTGCTATCATGCTATCATCATCATTATCATCATCTACACTAGAACACCTTGTAGTTGGGTTTCAACAAAATTTGCATTTGACTGGGTTTCTTTTTGCAGGGAAGTTCAAATCATGCGAACACCTCTTGTGGAATAGTGCTTTTCTAATGTGAGGAAGAAAGTCTTATGGATTTATTTGCTTCGGGAGGTCACAGAGTTTCAGGTAAAGCCGCCCTGGCAAAATATCTGTGATTTTGCTTCGCTCCATTCCCAAACATTTTGTTTCAACATTATAGTTTATCTATTTATTAAGTGTCTGTTGGTGTTTTAGTCCTCAATGAGCACAGATATGATAGTAGCCTATCCATCTTTTAACTTATTGGTTGCACTTTAGGTTTGCTGGACGTTTTTTTTAACAAATCATTTAAAAATATTGTTGCCCAAAATTATCCATGTTAATCAGAAAAACTGATTGAAAGGTACATTTTCCTGGCTGCTTTATTTGATCAACAATGGAAATAATGTTAAGCTTGGTATTTAAAGTTATCACTGTGGCCAAAGTTTTGTATTTACAGATTATTGTCTCTTTGTGTACCGTACAGTACTATAAATCATATAAAAAATGCTTGTAATATAATGCACAAGCTCTAATTAAAAAATACTATAGTAATTTAGAGTAAATCCAGTGTTTTATAGCATATACAGTATTATACTGTAAATATTTTAATATTTAGAACTTTTGGTCGAACTTTATTTTGATGATCTGTTTTTTGAATTAAATTACATTGCATATACATGCCAACGAATTCTCATTGGATTATAAGTAGACTGTTCCTGGTATGTTTGGTGGTATGGTTAGGGTTTAGTGACATGTACTTGCAAAGTTTCTAATAGTCAGTTAAATGTTTGTTGAAGAAGCAGTATCAACAGATATTAAGCAGACAGTCTACTAATACTCAAGTGGATCATCAAAATAAAGTGTTACCAAACTATTTTTTTAAATAATCCTACAGCATACTGTAGTATTAACTATTGTAAACTCAAAAATGTAATAAATACTATAATATACTTTAGTTTTTGCTACAGTAAACTGTGATGTATTGTAGTGTAATATACCCTATAGCTATAGAACACTTAGTACAGTACTGGGTTATTTGCTGTATTAACACAGCAAATATATAATTAGCAAATAATTTAGCTATAGTATAGTAAAGCATTCGCTATAAACGACTAGTGTATTTTTGTGTGTGTGGAGAATTTAATTCACCAGTCTTTGAGGATATTAATGGTCTGCTGGAAGTAATTTGTCAGATCTAATAAGTTTTCTTATAAAATTTGATGTCTGATGTCATGAAAATATTGCCAATGTAGTCTAGTCTTTTAAAACATTTGAGTGATTGAACATTAAATGAAAGCTAATCTCATAAATTGGCAAAAGTTAAGGGGTAGTATTAAAAAAAAGTTGTTGTTCTTTTTATCACTCCGCTTGTGTGTTTTCAGGGTCTAGTTTTTCGTTTTCCCGGAATGAGTAGCAGTTTTTTTTTTTTTTTTTTGAAACTCAAAAACATTGGTACATGTCTGATTTTGAGAGAGCATATCAGCATAGGCTGAATAGCTGTGTGCTCAGGAGCTCAACAGAAATGTCTGTGATTGGCCAGAATGGCATAGCTGGATCGGGGCTTCATTCTGCATTAACAGGGACAGGAGAGTAGGCTATATTCCCAGTTAAACTAGAATTCTATAACTATTAGTATTACCAAACTGGTCATTCTGACCGTTTTTATATAAGACTTCATATTGTCTAGTCATATTTACATTCAAAACATCTATTGAAATATTACAACTAAGCTTTGAATGACACCATTACCCTAAGAATATGATCTTTTTTGGTAATACAGCCTATAAATATGTAGTTAAGATACTAGAACACGCAAAGGTCCGGGCCTTCATTTTCACTTTCAAACAGGAGCTATTTTGCGGCACAGAATATGCTGTTTTAAAATATAAATCTGAAGTAAATTTATGTTGCTATCAGAAAGTTCTGTTTATGTTAGCAGGAAGTTGCTAAGCAAAAAAAGCATGCATATTTAACGTCACAGCGAAAAGTAGCAAACATGCATGCAGTCATTTTTACCAATATGGTAATTAAAGGTAGAAATGCTCAGTTCTTTGCTAAATATCAACGTTAGAAAGAAATACACAGATATTTAGAAAACATCAGGGTGTTCTATATGTTAGTTTTATTTCAAAGACTTATTAAATTACAAAAATTAAAAACTCTCTGACTGCCTCAGTAGTTCTAGTGTTAAAGCCACATCTATCCACTTGAACCTTGCAGATGAACGATCACTGATAACGCATCAGCTGATTGACGATATTTTTAAATGCTCCTTTGAAAGCTTGAAACACTGTCAGTGATGTAATCAACACACAAGCAGCCAATAGTGTTCAGTTTTTTCTGACAACTCTTCCCTCAAAATTTCATTGGCTGTAATTTGGTAGCTTGACTAAGCTATTGGCGAACGAGTTGTTGTCAGATCATGTAGTGTGTAACCCCCCTCTTGCAGATCATTTATGTATTGTCACATAGTGCGAACACCAAAGCGATTAAAAGACACAAAAACAAGTCATGTAGTGTGAACTAGGCTTTACATTTTCCTGTTTTGCTGTCTGTTTCGCATTATGGTTTCGCTACATGTGGACAGCGTCACATCACCTTCTAGCGTTTGTCGCAAATTACGTGACATCACCCGGATGGAGAATCTTGGGTGGATGCCTTCCGGCCCAAACCAAACACATGGATCGAGCATGCCACTGTTAATATTAGGAGTAAAATAAATATATTTATGCTTTTTTGGAGTCAAACACTTCGGACAATGGTTTAACAAAATGTAAGACCTCGTGAAAATGGGATTAAGGCTTTTTTAAGAACTTTTACAGGCCTAAATATTCTTATAATTGATTTATCAACTTTTAATAGAACTAGGCTTTACATTTTCCTATATTGCTGTCTGTTTCGCTCTATGGTTTCGCTACAGTTGCTGGCTGCCAGTTGCTGCTCGTATCAAATTCAAAGCTCTGATGTTTGCCTACAAAGCGACTTCTGGCCTTGCTCCTTCTTATCTGCTCTCACTTCTGCAGATCTATGTGCCCTCCAGAAACTTGCGTTCTGTGAATGAACGTCGCCTCGTGGTTCTATCCCAAAGAGGGAAGAAATCACTTTCCTGAACGCTCGCATTCAATCTGCCCAGTTGGTGGAATGAACTCCCTAACTGCATCAGAACAGTAGAGTCACTCGCTGTTTTCAAGAAACGACTAAAAACTCAACTATTTAGTCTCCACTTCACTTCCTAATCTGCAATTTCCTCTCTGGATATCACACTAACTGTACCCCCAAAACAAACAAAAAAATTACTAATACTTTCCTTCTTAGACTTTACAGACCTGAAACTTGCCTATAGCACTTATTCATTGTTGCTCTTATAGTTGTGTAAATTATTGCTTCCTTGTCCTCATTTGTAAGTCGCTTTGGATAAAAGCGTCTGCTAAATGACTAAATGTAAATGTACATGTGGTGAGCATCACATCACCTTCCTGCGTTTGTCACAAATTATGTGACAGCACCCGGACACGCCCTGGCCCGAATCAATTGTATGGATCGAGCATGCCACTGTTAATATTAGGACGAAAATAAATATATTTATGCTTTTTTGAAGTCAAACACTTTAGACAACGCTTGAACAAAATTTAAGATCTCGTAAAAACACGAATAAGACTTTTTAAGACCTTTTCAGGGCCTTAATGTTCTCATAATTTATTTATCAACCTTCAATAATTTTTAAGACCTCGCAGACACCCTGAGTTAAAAAACGACATGCCGAAGAACATTGTATGCTGAGCTGCTTTTCTCTGCTCATGAATATGACAGTGATCGAGCTGACAGATCTAAAATAGAACCACAACCTGCATTGTATAAGGTCACCCCAATTAATCAGAACAAGACAAAATGACATGCTGTAGCTTTAAGCAATGAATTTGCACAGAGCATAAACTCAAACTTAACAGTCTGTCCACAGCTTAAGCTTAGACTTTCTGCTCAGAACTAAACTGCATAATGTAAAGCATACTGGACACCATGTAAGATCTGAAGGAATTTATCTAATTTTGTGCACTTTTAATCTCCAAAGAACTTCTGTCAAGTGGCTTGTTAGTGAGGCTTCAAATTAACACGTTTGGGTATTAAAGGAAAAGACATTGTCTTTCAGAATAGAGATGTAATAAATATTCAGAGGATATATCTCGTATATCTCTTTCCTTAAATTTAAGCACCTGCAGGTTTGATCTTAGCATGTTTTACAAGGGAATCCCCTAAGCAGGAGGGGGGAGGAGAGTCATGTTTACCTCTCCTGTCCTGTACAAAAGCACAGCCTCTTTCTGTCTTAAAACAGCTTATCCTTCCTGGAAGACGACGCTGATCCCACTTGGCATTTAAACCTTGGTGACTATTTATAAGGCAGACATTTGCATCTCTTTGGCATGTATGCTGTTGTATGGGGTCTATTTTACTTCTGTCTATTCTTAAAATAGAATGAAGAGACTTGTTTTTGAGAGATTTATTATTATTTTTATCAATAATAACGTGGGAAATGCATTGCTAATACTTCTGACTTTGACTTTTTTTGTCTTGTTTCTAGTCCAAATATCAAAAATGTTTAAATCAAGAAGCATTATCTAAATGCCTTTTCACAGTCCACACTGGAAGAAATGCAATGTTAAGTCATTGGGTGATATTAATAACGATAAAGGCCTAAAATCATTTCAAGACATTAAGATCCATTTTAGTTTGCAGAAACTTTATTTTTTATGTATCTTCGCATTAGATCCGCGAATTGTGCATATGTCAATCCCTGGGATGCACAGTTGCCTGCTCATCCTTTGCGTAAGGATTACACCCAATTAGAATTACACCCAATATTACATCTGTTGCTTCTGCTTCACTTATATGCGACTCTCTTCTTAAAAATTCCAACAAACCGCTATCCATTACTACTGTTTGGTCTAAGGATATCAGTGGAGATGTAGATTCTTTATTTTCTGACCAAACTTTGGACACTATTTCATCCTCCTCAAAAAATCTGAATCATCAAATGTTACATTGGAAACTATTGCATAGACTCTATTTATCCCCTGTAAAACTATTTTATGTGCATTTAATCACCTTCCCCAGATTGTAATTTATCCACACAGAGGACAGTTGACACTTAGGGTGCTTTCACACCTGTGAATTGATTCAGTTGTTCCGAAACAGAGATTAAAATTGTTACATTGTTGCTCTTTGTTCTTGGTGCGGTTCGCTATCACACAGCAAAGTTTCTAAACGGACTAAGAGAGCTAAAACAGGTCACGAGTGAGTAAACTCTACTCACATTGGTCAGAGTTTCATAATTTATCTTGCAGAGTCCCGCTCAAGTGTCATGCGTCCTTATTATAATTTAATGTGATGAGCAATAAGACATTAGAAGCGGAAAGCTGCGCTTTTAATTTGATTGGTGATACCCACAGACGTCATCACCAGATATAAATCAGAGGTAAGACTCTCTAATGCATAACCCTTGGCTAGACTGCAGTCCGGTTAATGTTCCTAACGGATAAACAGCTCTTGTTAAGAGTTCAACCTATTTTTCATATTAGACATGAGACTCACATTTACCGGTAAAAATGACATCTCGCCCTACTCATAATTCTCTCTTCTAATTGCCATATATGCCTATTAAATATCCATAATACACTGTGATATAACCACACTCGGATTGTATCGCTTTATAACTACAATCGATTCGCTCCAGAGTTTATTTCAATCGAGCCGAGACCATCTCATTCAGGCGATCTTGGACCGATTGATTTGGCCCGGATCCAAGCGTGGTTGCTGGTTTCACATATGCCAAACGAACGGCGCTACCGGGGCAAACGAGACAGGTTCGGAAACAAAAGTCTAGGTGTGAACGCATCCTTATTTTCATTATTATTGGGAATGTCCTGCACTTTTTGGTCTCAGCTGGCTCATGACACGTAATTTTGTTAGGAAAAGATGTAGAACTGACTCCAGTATGCTTTTCCCTAAACGATTTTTTTAACATGTCACTCTCAATGCAACAAAAGAACTTGGAACCGCTGGATTTCTCCTTATATTATGAGTAGACGCCGATGGGGCCTATCTTTGCCGGACAGTATTTGGTTCTTTCAACAGCACGCATAGTGTCACACTCAGTCAAAACCTGTTAAGTCCTGGATTTTAGCTTTTGATATTGCCAAATCCTTTGTGTCTTCCTTCCAATGTACAGCTTTTCTGTTTATATGTACTTTATGCATCTAATGCAGTAATAGTTATTTATTTGTACTTGCCTAACTTCTCCTCTGTATTTGGCTTTACATTATTCTTTCTTTCTTTTTTTTATAACACAGCAATCTTTTAATTGTTATTATTATAGAACAAGTCTGCCTGGGTGGGAGGTGGGGATTCGGGTTGTTTTATGATATTGTCATATGCTGTATGCTTTCTATATTAAACAAAAACTGAAAAAATAAAAGCAATTACTCACAAAAAGAAGAAGCATTATCTAGACAAGCAAAACATAATGCCTTGTTTTCAGAACTAGTATGTTAAAATTAAGTAAGTTTTCCCCCTAAAACAAGGAAAATAATCTCTCAATAGTGTAAGCTAAATAATCTTATGTCAAAAGGAAAAACTCACTTAATTTTGCACATTATTTCTTGAAACAAAGACAGTATTTTTTGCTGTCTTTAATTTTGAATGAGAAACAAGACAGGAAAATAAGTAAGAAAGGAAGATTTAAAGTAAGAAAAATCTAAGTAAGAAAAGCATATTATGCAGTGTTAAATGAGTAGTTTTATTCAGTGTTTTGATAATTGTTTGTGTAAGTAATTATCAGTGCACATGCATATTTGTTCACTAATTTGTTTTACTTTGCAGGAGTGATTATTACCCAAAGACGTCAGATGTGATCTAATACAGTGAATGGACTTTCAAAATGGCTAAAATCTGCACTGGAACGTCGTACCCATCGCAACGATCCGCATTCACTCCAGAACCTGCTGCCGAATGCATCGAATGTGGAGAAAGGTCAGAGCAGACACCACAGACACATCTAGATGGACGAATCAATTATTCATTTCCATCTGAACAAGTTTCACATTTGGTGAATGTCACATTCAACTGTATTTAATTTGCCATGCATTCGTCTCTTGCAGGGATCAGTCATCTTATGGACTAATGGGCAGGTGATTTGAACATTCATCTGTTGGAGATTTGAAGATTGTTCGTGCATTGAGAGTGATTTTTTATTTTTTTTTTGTGCCTTCACTTTCAGGATGTCCCAATTTGCTCAGAGGTTTAGAGGAAACTCTGGTAACTGCAGAGTTTCAGAGTGCAATGATTCTGCTATGATACAGGAGGAGACCGAAGACATGCAAAACCATGCATCATGGGACTCCAGAGGAGAAGAACTGCGCAAGAGGAAGTGAGTACACAGTGGGAGAAAAATATTTGTTTAATTTAGGAACATTCAGCTTAAATTATATTTACAAAGTTGCATTTTAATGAACTTTACTGACATTTTTTGAATACAAAAATGGTTATAGACCCTTTGGTAACACTTTAGTTTAGGTCCCAATTTACACTTTGAACTTCAGGCTTATAACCTGCCTATTATTAAGTCATTAACTGTTCATTGTTAGTTAATTGGTTGTGCATGATTTCATTCTGCATCCTAATCCTACCCAAAACCTAAACCCAACTTCTATCTTACTAACTATTAATAAACAGCTAACTAGTAAGTTACAAAGCTAATAGTGTTAGTTAATGATTTGTTAATACCAAAAATTGTGACCTTAACTAAAGTGTTACCAGTGGCGGTTCTAGTTTAAATGGCACCCGGGGCGAAACCACTCTAAACATACACCCTCTCTCAAGAAATAAAGACACTATGTGGTTGACTTTATTTATATATATATATATATATATATATATATATATATATATATATATATATATATATATATATATATATATATATATATATATATATATACATTTAAAATAATTATTATAAATACATTTAAATATATTTACTTTTTAAATAAATATAACAGTTTGTTTATTGTTATTGTTATACAATTTTTATTCTAAATAAATAACAGAAATCAATCCTAAATGTAACTGAAAAACAATGTAAAGACACAACTGGAGTAATATTCTAAAACTTTTGCATAAATATTAATTATGACAGTTCTATAGAACACAAAATAATGTTTTATAGAATTATTTGTTGTCTTTGACCCGACTCATGGCCGAGAATTAATGTTATGAAGTCACAGTAACCTTCCTGACTCTTTATTCCATATTGCTGCTTTATAGCCATGCTTAGTGATAGTAACATCATCATCATATGATATAACTTTTAGTTTTGTCGACTTGCATGTCGACGCATATCGACATGCATGTAAACAACCGGGAGCAGGAGCAGCGCGTGTGAGGCGTGCGGGAATGGCTTTCTGCGCACATGAGTCAATTTGTTTTCACCAGCGTTGTTTCGGTCGCACATAGAAATAACAAACTTACATGCACAAAAACACCAAATGTAAATAGCCCCTAACGTCTTTATTCTATGATCACCACTCTGAATTAATACACTTGCATGAAGTAAATCTTTTCTAAAAGCTTTTACTGGGGGACTTTTTTTGCATCTCCCCATGACGCCCCCAGGGAGATGCCGCCCTGTGCGCTCGCCCATATTGCCAATGCCTGAATCCGCCACTGAGTGTTACTGACCGTTTTGGTTATTTAGAGTATAGCTTTTGTTAGTTTTCCTTTTGTTTGGTTGCAACATGACCAGAATGACCATTTAAAAAAAAACTAAGAATCAAATGATCAAGTTAATAATGTATATACAGTCGAGCCTGAAATTATTCATACCCCTGGCAAATTATGATTTACAAATTTTGTTCAAATGTAAATAAAAGCTGACTTTTTTTCTCCACAATGGCCTCTTGTACATCATCATCTTATCTTGGATGGTGTCTTATCTTAACCTGTGTCATTTCCAGTCCAAAAAAAAAAAAAGAAAAAAAAAACTTGCTGGTTGAATAAAAGTAACTAAGCCAGAATTTGTTAGAGGTATGAATATGAATAATTTCGGGCTTGACTGTGATTTAATCCCAATTTCAAGGGACAAATTAACAGACAATGCATTAAAAATAATTTTAAATGTATAAATAAATAAATTTATTTTATTAATGTTATTAATGAAAACAATCAAAAAGTTTATTCATAATTTGTTTTAAATGCACATTTTAAATAGTTTTTTTTTTTTTTAAGCATCTGGCAAATGCTTTTCTCTCTCTATTTGCCACTTGGTTTTCTTTTTTGTTTAGCCACTGGATTTTCTCGGGTTAAAAATAAATCGAGTTTAAATATGGCATTGGTCAGTACACACGTAGCTGCGACCAATCAACATTCGCCTAAAAAACACAAATAAAAATATAAAATTAAATAGACACATTTAAATATGACTATTTGTTTGCTCCTTTAAATTGTGATTTATTTATTTACAGAACATTTTAATGCTTCAGTTATTAAATTGATCATTTGATTCTTTTGTTTTATGTCTAACTGGCACTCCTGGTCCTCTATCCTGCAACTGGCATTTATAAATGAATGCATAACATTTGCATTATAAACAAAACCAATCATTAGAAATTTCTGCAGAGGAAACAATCAACCCAATGTAATTCTCCTTAATTTGTGGTGAGATTAAGCTTGTTTCTCCAGACAACAAAAGAGGATGTGCTTACAGTAACCTTATAATCCTCTGCTGCACTCTCACTTTTGCTTGTCCTGTGGTAGATAGTGTTGCTTACAGCGGCCAGCATAAATGAATGATTTACATGAATGTGTTCTATAGGATGCTTTACAATAATGTATTTGTACATATACATTAGATTAGTCAGTAACTAAACCATACCAAAGCCAAAACTAGAGCTATTTTAACAAATTATCTTAAGGTCAAGATCCCCAAAAAATGTCAAAAAAACAAATATTAAATAAGATTTTAATAAAGTCGAAAAATTTTGAGAAACATGAGACTATATAAATTTTAGTTGTTTTTTTATTTATTTTCTTTCATTTGAATATTTGAATTTAAATATCTTTCTATTACTAATGATGTTTGGTGACTAAACTCTTATGTGATTTGATATAAATGCTTAACAAAACTGTTTTGTTTAAAAGCACCAACATTTATTGTCTATATTCACCGAGAAAGCTTTAAACTTATTTACATGTACTTATTTAGCACTATATTTGAGTTTGAATTTGCTTAACCTTTATATATAGTAGTCATGGATAGTTGATTAATCTCATTTAATAAAAAAATTATTGTGAAAAAGATAGATACATATAATTTTGGCCATTTGGTACGTATTTCTAACAAACTAAAGGTAAAATGGCTTCATATTTATGATTTACATTATAAACCAACTTTTTAAACATATATATGCATATATATCATTATGAATTGGAGGCAGACACATGCACAAGTCTTTTATCTGAAGTCATTCCAGGCCTTTTAAAAATAAATTATTTTACTCAAAAATCCTATTCAGAAATTAGAATAGTATAGAAAAATAAAAAATGTTCAAGACATTCAGCAGGGATTCTAAATTAAACTTCTATCAATTGATGACACTAAAAACATGTACAATATAAACTTGCCAGGGATCAATCTTGCTCAAAATTTAAACTGTATTTGAAAATAAAAATTGACTGAATTGCCCCTCTTCATCTTTCACGCTGTACCTTTATGTAAATGTAAACAAAATGTCATGACAAAAAATAGTTTACTTTAATTTAATTTAATAAGTTCATATGTTTAACTTAATATTTGAATCAGTTTTACTCATTTTATTTGATTCAACTAAATTTAAAAGCAGAAAGTTTTTTTTTTTTTTACTGTGAATTATTTCAGTACTTATATTAATATGAATGCGAAGAACAATCAAATAAGGCAACAACGGAGAAAGTTGAATACAATAATGACACTGTTCATTTAAGTTATGATTGCAGTCAAACCTTTGTCATAAAAAGCTCCATAAAAGTTCAAATAAAAAGACTAGGGTCTGAAAAAAAGACCCTTTTATTTACAGTTAAAATAAATAGTTTGGGAAAATCCAAAAGAGCCTAAAAATCTATATATTTAATTGTGTTTAATTGACTGTATTGCAAAAACAGCAAAAAAATATGTTGTTGTATTTTAAATTTGATCTCTAAACAATTTACAGCCATAAAATTACTCACAATATTGTTGTCTTCACAGCTTCAACAACAATGCGAATCATTGGCCTCTTGCAGCGCTGAATATGAACAACTGCAACAACACAGATGAGTAAGTGGGATGTTAAAATGATGTTGTGCTGTAAAAAAATGTGATACTTGCTACCGTAAATACTAAACATCAAGTATATTTTTTATGCAGCAAAAAAGACGACAGGGAGATAAAGAAAGATGACAAGAAGGAAGAACCAAAAAAGGATGAAAAGAAGGAAGAGAAAAAAGATGAAAAGAAAGATGAGAAGAAAGACGAGAAGAAAGATGAAAAGAAAGATGAGAAGAAAGATGAAAAGAAAGATGAGAAGAAAGATGAGAAAAAGGATGATAAAAAAGATGATAAAAAGAAGGAAGAGGAGAAGCCGTGAGTATCTCTTTGAAATTTCATGCAATCAAGTGAAATTGCTTGTTGAATTCTAACCTTTTTTATTTTTTTTTAGTAAACATGTGTGGATAATGGATCCAGCAACAGATTTATACTATCACTGGCTGACTATCGTAGCAATACCTGTGTTCTACAACCTAATGTTGCTTGTTACCAGGTAATTTATATCAGAATTTCTGTTGTATTGCACATTTATTATTACAGGGCCCCTATTATTTCTATTTTAGCAAGATGTAAAATAGGTATTTGTTGTCTCCAGAATGTGTCTGTGGAGTTTTAGCTCAAAATATCACTCAGATTAATTATTATACCAGAGGGAATTTTAGCAGTTCCTGTGCCTTTAAATGCAAGTGAGTGGGATTTCCCCACCCACTGTTTGAGCATATCCACTTCTGAAGGATATGCAGCAGCATTGATACATCAAAGTGTGGTTAGCTTTAAAACAAGGTTACATTTGATTTGGATTTTTCATTAGTTTTAGTTTTTATTTCATTTTGACTTTTTGTTTTTAAATTCAGTTAGTTTCAATTAGTTTTTAGCGGATTTACTAGTTTTTATTAGTTTCAGTATTTTAAAATTGATCAGTTTTAGTTTGGTTTTTATTAGTTTCAGTATTAGTTTTACAATTTTTTTAATAAATCAGAATTTTTGTTAGGTGCAAGATTCAAAATCATCAAAATATTGTATAACAACTCAACGGTTCACTTAGAAGATCTGATTTAAAAGAATGGTTTGTTCGCAATCAGGATCACAAATACAGAAATAAAACCCATTACTGGACACACATTTGTTAAATGAACACTTTTAAGTGTCTGCTTGGTTCGTATTTATTGCGGTCACCGTGCTGCTGTTATGTCCACTCATTGTTTTTGTCGCGGGAACAACAAGTGAGGACTGACTGGAGAAGGACCTGCTTGATCTGGCCAATAGCAGCAGGATTACAGACTTCGATGTGCCATATAGCTCAAAAACCTGGCATAAAACTGGCATCGCGAAGTAAACAGATTTACTTCTAAAAGGCTTATGTATCAAATGTATTTACAAAGACAAAAAGGAATGACGTTTTTGCTATAGTTTTAGTAAGTTTCAGTTAGTTTTGTATGTACACAATACAGTGTTAGTTAATAAACTTGTTTTATTTTATTTCAGTTAAAAACATTTTTTTAATTTTAGTTTTGCTTTTTTCGTTCGTTTTCCTTAACTATAATAACATTGCCTCAATATTGCTTGGTTTTGCATCCTGGTTTAATTTTAGCATATGTTTATACCACTCTAATATGACTGTGTACCCTATTCCGACAAACAGTTCTGTTTACACAACTTCCCAAAGTTAATTTTGCATGATAGATGCCATGTAAGTATATTATTTTGTTCAATACTTTAAGTTATGGATATAATAGTACTAAAACCAAAATACATTTAAAAATTATTTGAAGTTGTACATAAAACAAAGATGCCTAGTTGTTCTCCATGCTGCGCAAATACACACAGTACACCATAACATCTTGTACTTCAAGAACTATTTTGATGTTATCGTCAGGTGAAAGGGCTAATTTACTGTTGTACCTGTTGTTTGTTTTTTAAGAGCCTGTTTTAACGAGCTGCAGGATGATTACACAATCCTATGGATGGTTCTGGACTATACATCAGATGTCATCTACTACCTTGACACATTTGTGAGATCAAGGACAGGTGAGAATATTCTACTGATTTTGCATTCATGAATGCTGCTTTCATGTCCTCCTGGGAAGTTTGCATTTAGGTTGTAATTGAATAAAAAAAATTAAACTCACCTTTCCTTTAAACTTGTATCAAAAATACCAATAAACAATGTGAATCAGCTTGTTTCCCACTCACAATAACAATTTTGGACTGGCATTCATGTGATTTCAACTCATAAATATGATTTATGCCACACCTCATGACCAATATGTTGGCCTCTTTTGAGTTTGCCTCCTATGAGATTGCTTTCTCAGCATTTAAATAGTCTGGTTCAGTTTAGTCAGTGTTGCTCTGAAGGATGTGAATTGAGATTTAAACTATTCCAAGAGTTGTTATTACAAGCCTATAGTTTATTTTATTGCTTATTATAAAATTGTAGTGATTAATTAGTGATTAAAGCAATAGTTCACCTAAGCATGATAATTCTGTTATTATTTACTCACTCTCTACTTCATCAAGACCTATAATATTTAAAGGTGCAGTAGGTAATCTTCCACAATGCTAACAGCTTAGCATAAATCTCTGAATCACAGTCCCTCCCCTGCAGCCTAGAGCCACGCCTCCTTAAACACGAGCACAGCAAAAGAACCCTCTCTCATGTGTTAAAAGCGACTGTTTCAGAGTGAATATTTAGAGTTGCATGGTAAACAATATAGGGAGAGACTAGGCGGAATAGCTGTATTTACTTATGTTTTGTTGTTAAACTAATTAAAATCTACATTATAGATGCTGTAAAAGGTCCCTTATGAAACTGAAAATAGTCTTATCAATCTTTCATCTGAAGATTTTAATGGCTGAACAGCACTTCTGTGAAGATACAACCCATTTGTAACAACAACATCTAACGTTACATCAGCTTTGCGTGAAGATAAAACAGTTTTAAAACAGAACATTACCTGTCTAAGAGAAATCCTTCGGACATTGTGTCATCCTTTCTCCAGCGTGCAAAGGTAACTAACTAATATTGATTCAGGTTTTTAAAAAGTTTTGATTCAGCAGATTTTGACAGATCGCACGCGCATGCTCTCTCTCATGAACGCGCGGCGTTCGGCGGAGCTGCATACAAAAGGCTGTGCAGTTGTTCAAATCTGCATTTGCTGACAGACAGATTGGGCTACTTATCAGAATTATGAGAGATCTCAGCCCAACTCTATTTAATTAAATGAACATTTTTTTGTTTTATGGCTTACCCAAAATACAAAAATGCATATAAATAGATTTAGATCATTTACTTTATTCATTACTATTAGACTGTAAAGAGACTTTCAACCAGCACAACAAAAAATGCTTCTGAAGACAATCACCTACTGCACCTTTAAGTTTTTTGCTTCAAAAAGAAGATAATTTGAAAAAAAATCTTGTAGCTGAGACCCACTGACTTTACAGCTATGAAAGGCGATGGCATTATTCAAAACATCTTCTATTATGTACAACAGAAGAAAGAAACTAATAAAGATTTAAAACCCCATGAGGGAGAACACATGAGGAAATTTTCTTTATTTGGTGAACTATGCCCTTAATAACCTCCAATGATCATTGTATGTGACATAATGAAATTGTTTTCACAGGTTTCTTGGAGCAAGGCTTACTAGTGAGAGAATCCAAGAAGCTGTGGGAGCACTACAAAAAGTCACCGCAATTCAAATTCGACATATTCTCCATGATACCAACAGACATACTAATGCTGAAAGTGGGTTACAACAATCCAGAGCTGAGATTCAACCGGCTTTTCAAAATGGCTCGTCTGTTTGAGTACTTTGACCGAACTGAAACCAGAACCAACTTCCCAAACATCTTTCGAATCAGCAATCTCGTCCTGTACATCCTTATCATCATCCACTGGAACGGCTGTATCTTTTTCGCCATTTCAAAAACTCTTGGCTTTGGCTCGGACTCTTGGGTGTATCCCAACATCAGTGACCCCGAGTTTGGTCGTCTTGGCAGAAAGTACATCTATTGCTTGTACTGGTCCACTCTCACGCTCACCACCATTGGAGAAACACCACCACCTGTCAGAGACATTGAGTACTTTTTTGTCGTTTCTGATTTCCTCATTGGCGTGTTGATCTTTGCCACCATCGTTGGTAACGTTGGTGCTATGATTTCCAACATGAATGCATCCCGCGCAGAGTTCCAGGCCAAGATTGACTCAATCAAGCAGTACATGCAGTTCAGAAAGGTCAGCAAAGATCTGGAGGCGCGTGTCGTGAAGTGGTTTGACTACCTTTGGACCGAACAGAAGACTTGCGATGAAAAGGAGGTGCTCAAGTACCTCCCAGACAAACTCAAGGCAGAGATCGCCATCAACGTGCATCTGGAGACTCTTCGGAAGGTGCGTATCTTTCAGGATTGCGAGGCGGGTCTTCTTGTTGAGCTTGTCCTTAAACTTCAACCGCAGGTTTTCAGCCCTGGCGACTACATCTGCAAGAAGGGAGACATCGGGAGAGAAATGTACATTATAAAAGAAGGCAAACTAGCTGTGGTGGCCGATGATGGAGTCACGCAGTTTGTGGTCCTGAGCGATGGCGCTTACTTTGGTGAGATTAGCATCCTCGGAATCAAAGGAAGTAAAGCTGGAAATCGCAGGACTGCAAACATACGTAGTGTGGGATACTCTGATCTTTTTGCGCTCTCCAAAGATGACCTAATGGATGCTTTATCGGAGTACCCAGAAGCCAAGAAGGCACTAGAGGAGAAAGGTAGGGCTATTTTGATGAAAGACAATCTTATCGATGAGGCTGCTGCCAATGCTGGCGCAGACGCCAAAGACCTAGAAGAAAAGGTGAATTTGCTTGGGACGAACCTAGATGTGATGCAGACTAAATTTGCTCGTCTTATGGCAGATTGGACTGCCAGCCAGAGCAGGATCAAACAGAGGCTCACCAACATGGAGGCCCGCGTGAAGACTCTTAGGGAGGAGGATTTGGACGAGGTCGTAGAGGATAAGAAGGACAAATAATTCTATACCAAAATAGACTGGCTTTATATTATGTGTTAAGAACAAGGATTACACATTTACCCATATAGAGGAATCTGGCATCATTTGAGTGAGGAATTGGTTGATCTATGCGTAAAACAGCAGCATCATACTATTTATAGACGACTGAGTCACAGAACTGGCATTTCACAAGACCTAAACCTAATTTGTGAAGGCACGTAAACAATGACAGATCAGACCGCTTCAGTCTCACTAATGCAGGATTGCCTTGAAAGGTAAATTGGGACAACAGTGCGCCAAGGTTATCCATCTTCTGTTTTTGGTTATTCTGGTTCTTGTGGCTGCCGCTGCAAAGTATTGTGATGTCTGAATATCATGTAGTTTCTAAATTGGTAGAACTTTGAATTTTCAGGTTATTATGCAGCTATACTCTCTGTGAGATGTCTTGCTGTAAACTTTAATAAGTATGCATTGTACAATGTCCCTTTTTTCTTGACGTTCTCAGGAATTGCCTTGTTGTCTTATTTGGAATACCAAAGCTTTGTATAAGGCAAGCATAAATACTAGGGATGTAACGGTATTGTAAATACCGTCATACCGCAATATTAATTTTTTTCGATATTACCGTAGTCGCATGACTCTGTAAAACTATAGGTCTTCTGAGAAAATTTGCTCAGGCGAATGAAGCGAACGGGAGGTACCGGAAACTACAATTCCCATCAGCCCAGGCTTGGCCATAATCCCTTGCGGTCTGTTGTCGCTACAGATCCAGTAATGCGGAAATGGAGTGTGCTGCTAGAAGCGGGGATGAAAAAAGAGCTGGGTGTTGTCGCCGCGCGCGTACTGAATAGTGGTGTTGTCGCGCGAGTTCTTATCAGCTGTGTTGTCGCGCGCGTACTGAATAGCGGTGTTGTCGTGCGAGTTCTTATCAGCTGTGTTGTCGCGCGCGTACTGTAAAGCGGGGACGGAGGGTATGTCGCGTCGCGGGGGCACTTTTGATCATTTTGGAAGGGAACTTTCTATCCAAGACTAAAAAGGCCCTGTGTGTGCACGTGCCTGCAAGTTGGGGAATAGGACTAATAATCAGTCATGGGGACTGCAGAAACACAGCACACTGTTCAGATTGATGCAGACATGAGATCTCTATCTCACTCATGGTTTGTCCTCTCAAGTGGGGGAAAGACAATGCACAACGTTACCCACTGCTGTCAACCTGGGCCAAGTCATATCTCTCTGTCCCAGAAACCTCAGTCCCAAATGAGAGGGTTTTTTTCTGTAGCAGGGGACATTGTAAATACCCAGAGATACCAGCTTTTACCAGATTATAGTTATATGATAATTTTCCTTTAAACCCATCTCTATCTAAGTGAGTGAGTGATTAAATGTTGAATGTGATGAGTTTTCAACACTACTAAATTGAAACTTAATTTTTTTACATGGTTTAATATTTTTTTGTTATTAAAATTGAAGTTCCTATTTCAAAGCTTACAGATAGATGACTAATTTGTATGTCATTGACACTTTTGGCACTTTTTTGGAGTATTTTCATAAGTTTTGTTTTTTCCTGTAAATGATTCAATAAATACCGTACCGTGACATTCATACCGAGGTATTACCGTACCGTGAAATTCTGATACCGTTACATCCCTAATAAATACTATACCATAGATAGGAGAGATCATGTAAAGGCAATCTCACACTACTAAATGCAAGATCCATGAATAATTGTGGTGCTCACACTACACATTAAAGGCTCCTAATTGAACATTAAAATGGTAAGAGCAAATCCCTCATTTCACAACCTATGATTTGAAATGCAGTTAAGGTTTCTTGTCATCTGTTGCCAAGGCGAAACGAACGTGAGAAAATCATCAAAAATCAATTAATACTGTGCACACTGTGATGGGATGGCTGGATTAGTTTGACCTTCTCATTGTATTGTACACTGCAGGATTAAGTGATGATAGTCTTGTTAAGGCTGGTTTTTCCTTCTGCATCGAGTGATCAGAGTGACCCACGGCACCTGCCTTGCACGTAGTCCTACATTTATAATTCTGTGCGCTGTTTGTATTGCTCTGCAATAACCCTACGAAATGCTTGCTGGCAGTAGGTTTTTATGTTCCTCCGCATTGTGTGTCTTCGCACTATACCTTAATGAAAACTCATTCAAGCAGAGGCAGAAACTGGCAGATGTGCAACAACTTTAGTCATAAGGTAAACACAAAACAACAGTTTCCATTCAGAGCTCCTTCACAAGACTCGACACTTGTAAACACTCGCTTCATCATGCTTGCAGCTCTCAGCACTGCCCACACTCATCACAGTTAACCAAGACAACCAATCACAAAGCTTGCAGTTTGCGTCGTTGCAACGAGTAGGTACACTTTTTGAGAGGTGCGGGTCAACGTCGGCGTCAGCTATGGCGAAGGCTATGCTACAGCTTGACGCAGAAGTATGAATCAGCCTTTAGAGATTAAAGGATTATTGGGTGAGAAAGTAAGAAAATAACAGTGAAAAATGGCTTCATAAGGACAGGGATTAATTATTATTGGTTCAAGCAATCGTGATGTTGTTCTCTTTTACAATGTCTTGTTTACCTTAATCTATTTTTCAGATGAGGTGAGGTGCATCTCAAACAAGCCTTTTGCAGAAATGCGTGGATTGTTCAAGACAGGCACAGATGATGTTGCAGACGTTTTTAAACTTAATTAGCATTGTTTGGCTGATCCTTTTTTTGTCACAGATCTGGGAAATCTACCTGCGATGAGGGCTAGGCAATGTCGACCAATTTGGCATTGTACGATGTCTAAAGTGAAACATAGCGATGGACGATGGCATCGTCGTCATAGCCGTAGGTGAATTAATTATTTGTGAATAATTAATTCATTCATAATGAATTCAATATTTATAGCCTACCGTTCAAACTACCTGACCCGAATAGTCTTTGATGTACCCATAACCAAATCATAAATAAATAAAGATAGGTTAAACACAAATTACCACCTGTCATTTACGTTTTCAGCAGGACTCTGGCATGAACAGGCCATAATGGCGTCAACAAACTCGCTATAATGTGTCGCTCGCAAACTGTGTCGCTATAATGGCATCAACAAACTCGGTAAAAAAGGTGCAAGACCAACAGCAACCAACCAACAGTATCTGAGGTTTTCACAAAAATTACTAAGTATAAGTGTGAAAGTGAAAGATTAAAGCAGTGTACAGACCCTGCAACATGTTACCTAGTAGATTCAAAAGACTGAAGAGTCGTTAGATAGAGACAAGATTGATGAAATATCCCATTTAACAACTATAGAATGACGCGATCCAGTGGTACATCCTTGATAAACTGTAAAACGTGCATTGCTCTTTGGATCTCAGACGAGCGCATGACAGTATGTGTGGCTGTGTTCGTGTGGTCACGTGATGCGTGTTTTCAGCAGACGGAGGGCTGTTCAGAAATGCTAGGTAAAACAAGGTGTGGATCTGGATCACTTTCATTCTAAAATGCCATTTTAAAACTACGATGTATTAGTGTAAACGGGGCCTAAGTGTGTATTTTCGCATGCGGGTTCGCGATGGGGGCCGGATGGAGGATCGGCGATGCCGTCTTAGCATCGATGCCGTCTTTGGTATCTTCTATCGACCCAAACCTACATGCGACAGCAAAATCTAAAAGGTATATCGTGTGAGCTTGCCTTAATTTAATGAACTAGAAGGTTTTAGTTTATTTTTGAGAGGAGAATAGAATGGAGAATTTCTTATTTTAGTTCACCATGTTCGTTTCTTGTATGCATATTTGATTTGTATACTTGCTGAAAACAAGGGATGTATTTGCTGTATTGAATAAATATATTTTAGAAACATTCTTATGATTTCATGTTTAATTTGGATTGATTGGTTTTGCTGGGTGGAAAACTCTACAAGTGATCCAATCATACCATGCAGTCGTTGTGGCCGTGTTCCTGTTCAGACTTGCCCTCAATGTGACGATCTTTGATTTTGGAGTTGGTTGTCCATTGGGAGCATCAACCCAGCAATTAAACCTGCTAAACATATAAAGGTAGTTAAGGAGCTGTGTCGGAAATGCAAACAGCGCAGGTTTAACTCTTGAGAAAAACATAGAGAGACTGAACTGTGAAATGTAAATAGAAATCAGGGTATAGTTGTGTACACTTCATTAGCCTTTTTATGTTTGTTTTGTAGCTGCCATTCAATTTTGCCATTTAAAAGCCTGAGTGATCACATAAAGCCACACAGGTCATATTGATTCTGATTTTCTATGTTTTCATGCATTTAATCAGAAATCTAATCAAGTATTTTTCCTCCCCAGGTCCAAAGTATGAAAGATGTTGATTACGAAAAGCGGCAGAGAGTTATCAGCATAATTGTAGCAACAGCAGCTTGTAATGCAAATGACATGACGTTTATCTGGCGTCAACCTACCGTGAACTTTGTGCAGTGCCGACTCTAATTAGACTGCGTTTTCTCCCTTTTTTTCTCCAGAGACAGGAGTCAAGCAGCGGGCTATTCTGAGGTAAATAACACGGAGGTGTGAGCAGTGCAACAAAACTGTTGTGGATGTGAAACTGTCAGACAGAATAGAGTCGCGCTGGTGTTTGTTTGAGTGAACAGCAGACCGTGAAAATGGTGGCTTGTTAACTTCCTTCGCCTGTTTTTGAAGCCTGCACTTTCTTACATTCGACGTCTGAATTTTATTTTGTCATGTTGAGGAAAATAGCTGCCAAAAAACTTCAGTTTTCCAGTAAAAAAAAAACACAATTGATAACTGGACAAATCAGGGTTATTTCACATATTGATTTGTTAACTCTGCTGAGATTAAAACATTGGTCTTGTGTTGTCTTAACATAAATATAAAGATGAATAAATATTGTTAAAAAATATATATCAAACACTATTATTTTAGATTTTAAAGTATTGTCATTTCTGAAATAAACCCAGAAATTGAACCTATTTGTGACAGAAGCCGACAAGCTCCAGCCTTTGTCCAAAGTAAATTTCTTTTTGGATATAAATTTCAACTCAAACTCTGATATTTGTCTTCTAAAAAATGAACCAGGTCCTTAAGTGGCACTGTTTGGACTTAATCCTGCAAATGTATTTCTGTCATCTTTGCAGTCAATTGTATATAATTGCTAAAAGAATTACACTACTGAACTGGAAAAACCCTTCTTTGCCCAACTACTTTCTTTGGATGAATGACTTGTTGCAGTTTATTCAAATAGAGAAAATTAGATATACAATTAATGGCAAAACAGAAGATTTCTATACAGTTTGGCAACCTTTTTTGTTGTATTTTTAAAAATAATTTATGTAACCTGTCCTTCATATCTAATCCTGTCTGTATCTGTCTTGCTTTTGAATGATAAAAACTTGTCCAGGAGTGTATTAGGAAGAAATTGTCTGACATTTAACAGTAATGGCAACAATTAGTAGACTGTCTGCTTAATATATGCTGATTCTGCTCCTTCAACAGACATTTAACTGACTATAAGAAACGTTGCAAGAACATGTCAACTTACACTAACCCTAAGTCCAATTTAACCGTTCACTTATTTTGTAATGAGAATTAGTTGCAATGTAACTTAAATCCAACAAACGGACCATCCAAATAAAGTGTGACCACAGTAATGGATTACTTGGGTGTCATTTGTTAATGTATTACTATTATATATATATATATATATATATATATATATATATATAATGTGTTTAATCACCACCCAACATTTTTTACTTCAATATTGTGAAATTAATGTAATATGGTTTTACTTTCCCTCACTTGTAATAACTCTCTGATTGAGAATTGGCAATAAAAAGAGTTAAACTGAATTATCTAGTAAAATATTATGTACTGTCATCATGGCAAAGATAAAATAAATCATTTATTAAAAAATGAGTTATTAAAAACTATTATGTTTAAAAATATGTTTAAAAAAATTCTCTCCGTTAAACAGAAATTGGGGAAAAAATAAATAGGGGGCTAATAATTCAGAGGGTTTAATAATTCTGATTTCAACAGTTTATTTTACTCACATTATCATGAATCGTAAATCCCTTTAAAAACTCCCTGCTAAAAAACTCCCTGGTCTTGCTGGTTTCAATACTAGTCTTGATGCTGGTAGTGCTGGTCTCAATGCTGTTCAAGACCAGCACTGAAACCAGCAAGACCAGAAAAACCAGCATTAAAACCAACAAGACCAACATTGGAACCAGCATACCAGCATCAAAACATACCTTACCAGCCTATGCTGTTTTTAATTATTTTTTTTTAAGCAGAGCTACCACTACCAAATCGACTTCACTTCTCAGCATAAATAAGATTTCAATTTGAAAATAAATATACAATTATTTCCCAGAGATGGGTTGCAGCTGGAAGGGCTTCCGCTGTGTAAAACAGATGCTGGATAAGTTGGTGGTGCATTCCGCACTGGCGACCCCTGATTAATATAGCGACTAAGCTGAAAAGAAAATAAATGATGAATGAATAATAAGAACATTTCTTGGCAAATATAGGCAATATGTTTTGGTTCATTTCAATTAAAATATAAAATTAAATACAGATAAAATCAAAACATTGCAAAAATAAAATACAAACTTCAAAGTTTCAACTTTTTTTGCATTGTTTATGTTTCACTTGACTTTTTTCTATTCCCCCTACGTATTAATTTGGGTGTACTAATTTTTTGTACTATGATCTATTGTTATTTTCTTTTTGGCTTTGGTGACTAATCTAATATATATGCACAAATATATTACAACTGTATCAAATCTTTTGTTTTTAAATTAATTATGCACACAATTTGTTTTCTATGGTCTTGCTTTTGTAACAATGCACAGATAAATCTACTTATAAAATGTCATGTCTACAGTAAACTTTTACTATAAAGTATACAGAATGATAAATGAATTGAGTCCAAAAAAAAACATAAAAAAGAAGCAACCTGACCATAAAAGCCAGTTTATGAAGGTACAGCTGCTGAGTTTCATGTGTCAGACACTTAATGCCATCTGGTGGCTTGTCACTGTATTTTGCTCAAGTCTGCACATTTACCTGAGCTGGCACTCTCCATTTCACTGTTTTGTGCTTTTGCTAACAATTACTAAAGCATAAGGAACACGGCATATTTTCTACATTTTATTTTATAATAAAACTGCTATTTATGGTCACATGATGAGGCCCATCTTCATTTTCCAGTAGATTTGAAGTCTTTGAATCTATTCAGCACTCTTGCTCTCAGTTTGGTGAGTGTCGACTCCGGCAGCTGCCCGTGTGTGTCTCTGAGATAAACAAATCAAGAGAGGAAGAAACTTTAACGTTATCTGGTACCTATATGAAAAGGCAATGGTGGACTCAACTTCCTCTATGTGCTAGAGAAGCAGAACAAATAAAGAACTGCAAATAAATAATTGTTTTATAGCTTCACTAGTTACACAGTTTATATGAGAATTATGTGCTTCATCACACCAAATCAGAAGTGATGCTTCTCACCTTGTGGTTATTTCTGCAGATATGGGTCTTGCTGCTGGAGTTGTGGGACTTGAAAAAGAGATTAACTTTGTTTTTATGACGGTTATAAAGCACAAGACATTCAACATGAATGAACACACTGTAAAGTTTCAGGATTGACAACCACACGTGAAGAATTAGTTCACCCAAATTGGAAAATAGATATAAGATATATATAACAGATATTAATAACTCACCCAGATATTAATAACTCACCCTCATGTCATTTCAATCCCCTGAGGCATTGGCTTATCTTTGGAACAAAAATGAAGTTATTTTAAATTAAACCGAGAGCTCCCTCATCCTCCATGAAGGGCAAGGGTCCCAAAATCATTGCCGAAACATGTGACTTCATTTGTTCAATTGTAATTAGGCTCCAAGAAGATTTTTGTTTGCCAAAAAAGACTGTAAAAATGGCTTTGTTAGCCAATGTTTTCTGCATCAGATCAGGGTGGGCATATACTTCATGCAATATGACAAAAACAAAGTTGTTTTCACAGTTTTTTGGCACACAAAAGTGTTCTTGGAGCTTCGTATGTTTACAGTTGATTCACCAAAGTCAAATGGGATGTTTTGACAATGTTTTTGGATCCTTTTCTGGACTTTTGCTGTCTATGGAGGATGAGAGAGCTCTCAGATTTCATCTAAAATAACTTTTGGTTATGAGAGTGAGAGTGAGTAATTACCGGTCAGTGTATCTTTTGGTCATTAGATTTTCATTTTGGAAATGGATATTAAAAACAAAAAACAAGCTTTTATTTTATTTTCATTTTAAAATTTAAAAACTTCAAAATTCACCAGGAAACAAAAATGAATAAAGGCTTGGTTTTTTACGCTGTGAAACCAGATAGGCTGACTTATTCACGGTGACTTAATACTACCACACACAGGCTAGCCTACAATAGGCTATTATTTTTTTCCACTTAATAATGTTATAAAAGGTATTTTCTTGTGATAATGGGATTTTGTTAAGACATATTTTCTCGTATTTCACCTTATATTTCAATATTCGTTTTTGAATTTCAAAACAAACATAAAAAAAACAGATCGTTTATATATTTTACATTTAAATATTAATTTCTAAAATGAAAATCCAATGACCAAAAGATACACTGACCAATTACCGTAATAACAGAATTTTCATTTTTGGGTCCTTTAAAAACACTAAATCCCATAAAAATGATCAATTCCTGTGTAAACATGTTTGGTATGCAGTATTCTCGACCCAATAAATTTTACAGCACCTAATGATTTATCAAGTTCTCTACTTTTAACCAAGCCAACATCGACAGAGACATTATATTTTATATCTGAAAAGCTGTTTGACAAAAGGCTCTTGAACTGCTGCCATGCCCACTTACCATATTGTTTTAGGACTTGGCTCAAAAAGTGATTAAGTAGGCAGATGCGTGCCTTTTTGTTTATATCTTATTATCATTACTTAGGGCCTCTAGAAGTCTAAGACTGACACTGGTGCCACCTTGTGTAGCTTTAGCTTTGCCTGTCGAGTTCAGACTGCAGGATTTTCAAAGTAGTAGCATCACAGATGTTTTTACGCTTTTTACGACCAGATGGGCTAAACTCTAAAACAATTCAATATTGTTAAACTGCTGACCACCAATTTAGTGTGTCCAAGGCATTAAACAAAACATATGAAGTTTAATGATGTTTCAGACATCAATGCAAATGGCTGTCCCCAAAAAATAGTAAGGCATAGAGGCAATTTTAAAGTGCTTTTGAAATGTGCACTTTTATTCGATGTTTACGGTGGCCGAGAGAGCTTAACACGCTGCAATTTAAGAAAGCACATGCAATTACAAAAAACACCAGCAAATAAAGAAACGTTCTTTATCAATATGACAGCATACGAGTTGCAAATTGGTCACAACACAAACAACTGAAGAAACGCGCTGCAAATTGGTCACAACACAAACAACTGAAGAAACGAGCTGCAAATTGGTCACAACATTTGCAAATATCCACAAAACACAACGGAAATGTCTCAAGGGGACCCAAAAACATGACGGACCCTGCTGAGATATGGATGTGTTATGTTGTGTAATCAGGATATTAAACTAAACGAAAAACAACTCACCTTTCATAGACCACCAATCATTTCACTGAGCAACAGTCACAGCAACATCCATATCTCAGCAGGGTCCATGTTTTTGGGTTGCCTAGAAACATTTCTGTTGTGTTATGTGGATATTTGCACTTGTGACCAGTTTGCAGCTCGTTTCTTCAGTTCTGTGTGTCGTGACCAATTTGCAACACGTGTGCTGTCAAATTGATGAAGATCGTTTCTTTATTTGCTGGTGTTTTTTGTAATTGCATGTACTTTCTTAAATTGCATCTCGTTAAGCTCTCTCGGTCACCGTAGATGTTTGACGCAAACTCAACTGAAAAATGAGGGTAGGACATAGTGTAGCTCCACCCCTTTTATTAAAACAGCCAATAGCGTTTTGTTTAATCATCACTCTGCCGGTGGGAGTGGTTGAGCTCAAGCGCATCAAATGAGGAGAGAAGGGGGTGGGGCATGTCAGATACTAGAGAGCTTTTGATTGGTCACAATGTGATGCGAAACTGAAGTATGAGGTGACGTAAATAAAACCGAATGAAAACACACTACACGCTTTACATATTTATATCAGTTTTATATCTCCGTAACATGAATTTTGTTATTGTTTTGGTGAGCAATAGCTTATAAAGATCCTAAAATCGAACAATACTAATACTACATCTAAAAATTTTATTTTCATTTCATGAGACCTTTAAGTCATCAACTTTGACAGTAGTGTGTATGTTGCTTATTACTTTATAACACATAGTACTGTACCAACCTATTGCCTTCAACTGGTTCCTGTTTAACAGACGTGGCTGAAGATCTTTCAGACAGACTGAACTCTGCTTCAACCATCTCTGGAGTGAGACGGAGCTCCGAGCTCTCAGACCTGGCAGAGAAATCACACTGTCACCGATCAGTCACAAACAATCAAGATGGAGGGTTTATTCAAGCTGGTGGCTAATCTATATTTACACTCCAGACTGAATCTCATCTCTGATATTGTCGGGCAGATTCTGAAGCACTGGAGGAGCCTCCATAGGCAGCATGTCAGACCTGTATAAAAGAGTTTTGAAAGAGTTTAGACTTGTTTTATTGTGTGTGGAAATTTTTGTGAGTGTGATACGTACATGTGTGGGATGCAGTCGATTTTTAGAGTCGAAATATTGGATAAACTTTTCAATGCCATAGAGGGAAACTTCTTCCATGTCATAATCCCTTTGATTATATCCTATACATAATAAATAATTACAGAATGAAGGTATTTCAAAGTATAGTGGAACATTATTAAACAAAAAATTCTAGTCCTGGATTCACAGCAATACAATATATAGTACAAGTTGTGATGTAAAACTTTCATTTAAATCCCTAGTTTAAAATTGATATATAATAAATAGTATATAGTGTATAAAAAAGGTATAGCAACGCGAGTTAAAATGTTTATATGCAAAAATGTCTCATGTAAGTTGTGGACAAACCTGTCTATTTAGAACTTTCTTCTTTGTTGTATTGTCCACACCTCTGACATTGGCGCTAGTGATGGTGTATCGAGGCAGCGGACACAAATAAAAGTCCAGGTCAGTCTCCAGGTAAAGCGGAGCTGCTTTGAAGGCATGAACATGAGGAGCAGGATTCTACAAAGACAACATCTATTATTTAAGCAACGTAAGGCCGACCCATGTTCAAACATGTCTGAATTAAATACTAAATTCTGATGTAAAAAAAAAAGAATACAAAAGTAAAACAATGTGCTACAGTTAAATACAAATAAGAAATGTGAATTTGTACAGTATAGTTTTGGTCCAGTATTATTATTATACACTCACCGGCCACTTTATTAGGTATACCTGTCCAAATGCTTGTTAATGCAAATTTCTAATCAGCCAATCAGATGGCAGCAACTCAATGCATTTAGGCATGTAGACATGGTCAAAACGATCTGCTGCAGTTTAAACCAAGCATCAGAATGAGGAGGAAAGGTGATTTAAGTGACTTTGAACGTAGCATGGTTGTTGGTGCCTGTCTGGTCTGAGTTTTTCAGAAACTGCTGATCTACTGCATGATCTCTGAACACACAACATGCCAATCCTTGAGGTGGATGGGCTACAGCAGCTAAAGACCACACCAGATGCCACTCCTGTTACCCAAGAACAGGAAACTGAGGCAACAAATCACACAGGCTCACCAAAATTGGACCATAGAACATTTGAAAAACGTTGCCTGGTTTGATGAGTCTCGATTTCTGCTGGAACATTTGGATGGTAGGGTCAGAATTTGGCATCAACAACATGAAAGCATGGATCCATAATGCTTTGTATCAACGGTTCAGGCTTGTGGTGGTGGTGTATTGATGTTGGGGATATTAGCTTGGCACACTTTTGGATTATAAGTACAAATTGAGCAGCGTCAACATCACAGCCTACCTGAAAATTATTGCTGACCATGTCCATCCCTTAATGACCACAGTGTACCCATCTTCTGATCGCTACTTCCAGCAGGATAACGTGCCGTTTCATAAAGCATAAATTTGAGACTGGTTTCTTGAATGTGTCACTGAGTTCACTGTACTCAAATGGCCTTTACAGTCACCAGATCTCAATCCAATAGAGCCCTTTTGGGTTGTGGTGGAATGGGAGATTCACATCATGGATGTGCAGCCGGCAAATCTGCAGGCACTGCGTGATGCTATCATGTCAATATGGACCAAAAACTCTGAGGAATATTTCCAGAACCTTGTTGAATCTATGCCACAAAGGATTAAGGCACTCCTAAAAACAAAAGGGGGTCCAACCTGGTACTAGTAAGTATTAGGTGTACCTAATAAAGTGGCCGGTGAGTGTCATTTGAGAAAAAAAATAATTATATATTATTATTATTGAAACTTGTGCTTTTTTTTCACAATTCCAATATTTTACATTCATTTTTTATTTTAGTTTTAGATTTAAAAAGAATGATTTCAACTAAATCAGCTGAAATAAAATGAGTTTCACTTTTTAATATTTTATGTCTATTGTTTTTATTTTATTTCTAGAAACTAAAGCTTTACTTTTAATGATTTCGTATTTAGATTTAGCTAACATTAATAGCATAAGAATGCTGTAATGATAATATCTGGCTCAATAAAACATACAAAGATCCGTAAAGGGTGAGCTCTGGGTGGTTTTAGGAGTGTTTCAGGTGCACAGAAACTGAGGGTGGGATTTAAACTCAGATCTGCTCTATCATCTTCCTGTGGGTTTTTCTCTTCCTCATCCTCACTGAGATCTACAGATGTACATGTCACCACAGGAAACAGCTCGTCCTGTAAAGACATGAAATTCATATTGGCTTTTGAATTCAAACAAATAACAGTTAATACATTTTTAAGAATGATACATGTAGTTTACCTGTGCTCCAGTGCGTAAAGGCCTACTCAGCTCAGGAGGAATATATGATGCTGCTGCTTCATAGGCAGATAATGGCTGATAACCCATCAGTCTGTATTGCTGGGGCACCTGAAGAATAAACACATACACACTTCATTCCAATTAATATTTCATAATATGCTCAAAAGCATTGACAAATGCCATTGAAATTACCAAAGCTCTAGTTTTATTTATTCTCTTAAATATGGATGTCAAACAGTTTGGATACTAACATATCAAAACTAACATACTTGACATATCTTCTGTATTGTGACAAATAATCATAGGAATTTTACAATACAATAATATTACTATAGGGTTGTGTCAACTACTGTATGCACTATTTGGATTTTATTAATAGACTACATGTGGTATTTTCAAAAGATTTTCCCACACACAACAAATTTTTGTGTATATTCTACTAAAATGTAGACATGACATTGCATGACATTTCAAGCAAAAATCTCCCACTTGCTGGAATTTTAACCCCAAAAATTACAAGACAAAAATCCCTATCATATGTTCAATGAATGGGAAAAACATTGTCTTCTTCCCGTACTTTTAGAGTGAACAATGGAGTCCTGAGTTTCATATCTGCTTCAGGCGTTTTTGCAGGAACGTGACGAAATGCTTTCGCAGCCTGAAAACCACAAATGATGGCATCAAATCACACATCTCTAATGCTGAACTGAAACTTTATTTGGAAACATTTAACCAAAACAAAATGTATGTTATATTTACAGCAAATAAAAACATGAACTCTGGTTAACTTGGTTGACAATTATAAAGCATGCTATAAACAGTTATACACAATAACTATAAGCAAACGCTCACAGGTTTGTCAGCCTGGTCTTCAGATATAAAGGTTTTGAAGGAGAAGGGTCTGATTTTTTCTGGAGTAAGTATAAAAAGGCAGGACTTCTCATCCAGATCTAAACAAAACAACACAAACACATGTTAAAAAATATCTATTTGTGTGTGTGATATGGCAGGTAATTCTAATTATACATAACAGAATTAAAGGTTTAGTGTAGGTGTGTTATATATATATATATATATATATATACATACATATACACACACACACACACACACACACACACACACACACACACACATATATATATATATATATATATATATACATATATGAGCAATTCCAGTGTTATATGACATTTGCAGTAAAAACTCAAAACATAAATTCACATAAAAAGTATATGTTAACATTATATTGAAACACCTGTTTATATTTTACAAAACAACTAGCCGCAGAGTTATGGAAGCAGAAAAATATCAATCTGTAGACTCTTTTAATATTTTAAATGGGAAAAATAAACATGCGTTATGGATGTGACAAAAGAAGTCTACGAGTTTACAATATACTAAATACCTTGTAGAAATTCTGTGAATTAAACTGCATAACCCAAAATAATTCATAATAATAAAAAGGATAAGAGTCAGCTCTCTATAGAACAAACATGATTAATTTTATTTTATTTGACATTTTTGCTTTTATGAAGGAAAAGCTTCATGATGGATGTGACACTTTTTCGTTATGGATGTGACCCATGTGAAATTTCCACTTGTGTGACTTCAAATATAATAGTTTGAAAGGTATATATACATCCACACTCAATGGCTACTTTATTAGATACACCTGTCCACATTCTCATTAACACAAATTTCAGCCAATCACACGGCAGCAACTCAATTTAGGCATGTAGACATGGTCAAGATAATCTGCTGAAGTTCAAAACGAGCATCAGAATGGGGAAAAAAGGGGAATTAAGTGATTTTGAACATGGCATATGTGTTGGTGACAGACGGGCTGGTCTGAGTATTTCAGAAACTGCTGATCAACTGGTACTTTCACGCACAACCATCTCTAGGGTTTACAGAGAATGATCTGAAAAAAGAAAACAAGGTGTACCTAATAAAGTGGCCGGTGAGTATGTATATAGCCTCTTACGTTCTTCCAGGATTATTTGACCAAACTGAACTTAAAAAAATTTAATGTAAAAATATTTTTTAACATTATCATGGTCAAAACATTACTGCATCCTTCAGAAATCATTATAAAATGCTGATTTTCTGCTCAAGACACATTTATCATCATACTTGCCATATTTTAGTTTGTATTCTATAATTCTATACTTAAAATAGACATTTTACACAATGGAAAACAACCTTAAAGTCATTTCTTTCACCAATTTAAGATACTCTTTCTGAATCCAAGCATTAACTCCTTTAGACAAAATCTATACTCACCTGATTCATTGTTTCCCTGCTGACTCCTAGTTTTGCGAACAAGCTCTCTCAGAGACACCAGCCTCTTGTTCATCCGACATTGAAGAACAACCTCAATTTAACCCAACAAGGTGTAACATTATTACACTTATTAGTACAGTAAAGCTTTTTATTATCAAGCAACAGATAATCAACAGAGTGAGAGGTAAACAACCACAGTAATAATGTGCTAAATAATAGAGCAATGTCAACAAAACTCCATTACATTATTAGAGTTATTATACCTTGCGAGCAGCCTGCTGAAAGAGTCTGAGCGCTCTCTGTCTGACCTCCAGCTGGCCAGTTCCATAGCGGCTGAAAACAGCAGTGCATGCTGGGACCTATAACAAAGAGCTACTTAATAAGTTTAAAACACATCAACCTTCCATAATTACTAATAAGTGGCATGTCAAATTTAAAACAGTGTATCCAGTGCAGATGCAATTTCATTAAATGAGTCTGTCATAGATTCATGCTTACTCAAAAGCAAGTGTTTTCATGCTATCATGAAGGTACATATTTACAATATATGTAAATCTGGACTATATTAAAGGTACACTAAAGGTTTTTAGGAAATACGATTATTTTACAAGTCACCTAAAGTTATACAGTTGAGTTTTAGTATTTTTGAATCCATTCAGCCAATCTCTGGGTCTGGCGAGAGCACTTTTAGCTTAGCTTAGCATAAATTATTGAATTGTATTAGACCGTTAGCATCTAGATAAAAAATGTCAGGATATTGCTTAGATATTTTTCCTATCTAAAGCTTGACTATTTTGTAGTTACATTGCTATATTATGCAGCCCTTTTACCTAGTCACCTCGGGGGACCATTTTGAGGCGCTGTGTAATATTATTGTGCCTGCTGTAGCCATGGTCCGGCTGTAAAATTCCTTTATTATTACGCTGGAATGAGAGTATAGTTCCTAGCCATAGTGATCTAGTAGGTCTTAGTAGACGATTTAACTTCAGAAGACTTGAAAGAAACTTTATTGAAACCTTTTTTGACATGTTTGAGTGAGATGTTAATGGTCTAATCTGTTTTAATGATTTATGCTAAGCTAAAAGTGTTCCTGCAAGACCCAGAGATGACCTGAATCGATTAAAAAATGGTAAAACTCAACTGTTTAACTCAAGAGGAGTTGGAAAATTTGCCTATTTCCAAAAAAAAAGTGGAGATTCCACACATATGTATACAGTTGAAGCCCCTCTGAATTATTAGCCCCCCTGTTAATTTTTCCCCCAATTTCTGTTTATCGGAGAGACAACTTTTTAAACTGATTTTTAAACATAATAGTTTTAATAACTCATTTCAAATAACTGATTTATTTTGTCTTTGCCATGATGACAGTACAGAATATTTTACTAAATATTTTTCAAGACACTTTTATACAGCTTAAAGTGACATTTAAAGGCTTAATAAGGTTAATTAGGTTAACTAGGCAGATTAAGGTGATTAGGCAAGTTATTGTATAACGATGTTTTTCTTCTGTAGAATATCGAAAAAATATATAGCTAAAGAGGCTAATAATTTTGACCTTAAAATGTTTTTTTTTTTTTTTTAAATTAAAAACTGCTTTTATACTAGCCGAAATAAAACTAATAAGACTTTCTCCAGAAGAAAAAAATGTATAGGACATACTGGGCAAATGTCCTTGCTCTGATAAACATCATTTGGGAAATATTTAAAAAATAATAATTCGAAGGGGGGCTAATAATTCTGACTTCAACTGTAAATAAGTATATAGAGTAAAGCCCAAAGTTATTGAAACCCCAAATTCTAACTTTATATATATATTTTTTTTTTCTTCTTCTTTTTTTTATTTAATCGTATAATTTGCAAAGTTATAAAACCAACACAACCAATGATTTTTGAACTTGTGTACTCTTTGCATGGTTTAGACAATACCTTATGCTTTTTACAGCTGATGTAAAAGAGAACTTAGATCAATACTCATGTGGCGTGCCGTCTGAAAGTCGGCTTTCTGTCTTCTGAGTGTGTTTCTGCTTCCACCCAAAAAGGGGAATTTACATGCACGGTGTAATAAATGATTCATGAGCTATTTTGAGCTTAAAATTCACACATTCTGGGAACACCTGAGACTTATATTACATATTCCCATCAAGCAACTTTCTGTTTAATAGAGGTCTAAAACTAAACATCGACCATCAGTGAAATTTTAATAGGCATCTAACAATAATCCATCAATAAACAAGTCAACAAATACACAGATTAGACAGACTTCACATGTGTAGTCATTCATTCCTCTCTTTTTCTCAGATTTTTACTGGCAATCCAAATGTATCCTTGTTTTAGCCATTTATGTTTACATGTCTAGATATTAGATGCCTTTTAATAAGATCCTACTGAATGATACATGTTATAAACCTGATTTTTAAAATTAATGAAATAAGGTAATACATTCCAAAATGTTGGTATTACACTTCTGTGTACCTGTCCAACATGACGCAAAACTCTCCGTGAGAAAAGTTTAGTTGAAGGTCTGGAAATAGCCACTGACTCACCACTGTATTTTAGCTGAAACACACATAAAAAGCATTGGAGCACTGAGTGGAAATAATGTGACACAAAATGTTTAAAAAAATGTTCTCTGGCTTACTTTGTATACAGCAACTGCCTCATCTTGCTCCTTCAAAATTTTAAGTTTTAGTTCCGTTGAACACGGATCATCACCCAAATCAACTTGCCTAAATATAGAACACACAAGTATTAGGGTTTTCCAGTTCACCCAAAATGACAGTCACTATGTTATATAATCACATAAAGTTAGGTCCATAAACATTTGGACATCTACATAGTTCTAACATTTTTGGCTCTATACACCAACACAGTGGATTTGCAATGAATCGAACCATATGTGCTTTAACTGCAGACTGCCAGCTTTAATTTAAGGGTATTAACATTCAAATCATTCCCAGAGATGGGTTGCGGCTAGAAGGGCATCCGCTACGTAAAAACTTGCTGGATAAGTCGGCGGTTCATTCCGCTGTGGTGACCCCAGATTTATAAAGGGACTAAGCTGACAAGAAAATAAATGAATGAATGAACATCTAAATCAGATGAATGCTGTAGAAATTACAACAGTTTGCATATGTGCCTCCCACTTGTTAAGGGTCCAAAAGTAATTGGAAATAATATTAATCTTAAATCAAAGCACAGTTCAATGACCATTTATGTGAAGCTGCTTTGACACAATCTACATTGTAAAAGCGCTATACAAATAAAGCTGAATTGAATTGAATTGAATTCAATGAGTTCCGAAGCATTTGGCCTGATATGAGCAGAAAATATTGCCTGAAACACTTCAGAATTCATCCTGCTGCTTTTGTCAGCAGTCACATCATCAATAAATACAAGAGAACAAGTGCTATTGATAGCCCTTCTTGTCAACAACGTCACTACTACCACTAGGGTCACAAGCAGTTCCTTTTCTTCTCTTCTCTTCCCATCCCAAGTTGATCTTGATCTCATCTGTCCATAGGATGTTGTTCCAGCACTGTGAAGGCTTTTTTAGAACTCTAATATGGCCTTCCTGTTTTTGAGGTTCACTAATGGTTTACATTTTGTGGTGAACCCTCTGTATTCACTCTGATGTAGTCTTCTCTTGATTGTTAACTAAGGGAAAGAATTCTTTGATCGTCCACCAGAGTTGTTTTCCGTGGACCTCCGGGTCTTTTGATGTTGCTAAGCTCACTGGTCCGTTTTTTCTTTTTAAGAATGTTCCAAACTGCTATCTCTCTGATGAGTTTTCTCTCAGTGAGAGCTCTTTGTATCTCATCCTGAGAGTTCACATTAACAGATTACGAATGCAAATAGCACACTTGAAATGAACTCTGGACCTTTTATCTGCTCATCGTAATTAGGATAATGAGGTAATATCACACACCTGGCCATGGAACAGCTTAGAAGCCAACTATCCAATTACTTTTGGACCCTTAACAAGTGGGAGGCATATATGCAGACTGTTGTAATTCCTACAGCGTTCACCTGATTTGGATGTAAATACCCTCAAAATACCCACAGTCTGCAGCTAAAGCTTGATTGTTTCATTTCAAATCGATTGTGTTGGTGTATAGAGCCAAAAATGTTCGAATCGTGTCGATGTCCAAATATTTAGAATAGTGTTGATGTCCAAATATTTATGGACCTAACTGTATATCAACACACCATCGAATAGCATTGCCTTTCTCCTCCTTTTGTTGGACCCTCTTTAAAAACGCAGCTTCCTTCATTTCTCTTGTTTGGTCTGCAACCTTGGTATAAGACATGGCTTCAAGAAATAAAACATACAAGCATCTCACATTAAAAAAACAACTTTGATTTGTGGTCACATCAATTCATATTGGATTAGTTGCATGTTGCTCTCCAAACTGTGTCAGCTTGATCTGAAATTTGATTAAATTCTTCAAACTGAATTCTGTATATACTGTATATTTCAGCCACAATGGTGGGTCTAAAATTCAAGGACATCATACACCCTGGTAGGTAGCTACAAAATGTTGCTGAGAGTTGAGCAAAAAAAAAAAAAACATTTTTCATGTCTACTGCTGTGATCAGATTCTACTAGAATTACATACAGAGTGATGACACTGGTGAGGGCAGCACAAAATAAAGTGGTACGTACAGTATGAGCTATAGAATGACCTCAAGAAAAAAACGCCTCTGTAAAAGCCCATTTTCAGGTTGGGTGACTTGCAAAAGGGGCATGTAATTCGTAGACTATAAAATGGGGCTCTTCTTATTGTTATATAAACTTCACTCTGCTGACGGGACCAGATAAGATCAGCAGCAATTTTCCATGCTGGTTTGGGCTTGTTTTTGTTTTGTAGTGCAGGTCTGATGCTGGTAGACCACCATAATCACCATATCAGTGGTGGATGAAGTAATAGTACAGAAGGCCTAATAAAATATTGCTCTGGTTAAAATTTAGTATGAATTTAAGTATGAAGGCAGTTGAATTTGAATATACGTAGGTATTAAAAAGTACTGATTGATTGGCTGATTTAAAGTTTGTGTGAATCTAAATTTACTATGTATTTTTCATTTTGCAAGCGCATATTGTTGTTTTTTTCAAAACAACTAATCCATGCAAGTTAATCCACTGAAGATATAAAATGTTTGTAATATTTAATCAAAGTCTGACCACTTGCTTCCATGTTTAGAGTGGCGGTCCTTCTCTGTTGACATCAGTTTGATGGCTTCGGTTACAGTATTCTTAACCACGCTCCTCTTATTGTTAATTTGCTACAAGTGAATGATGCGCAAAAAGAAAGTCCCGCCCCTACTCAATATTTCATTTAAGAAAAGTAAGTACTGTACATTAGCATACTGAAATCATAGTCTCAGCAATGTCTGGTTCACGTGGGCTTCAATTAATGATTCAAGTGTGTAAACAAGTGAAAATAACAAAACATATCATATAACCTAGTACAGTAAGTCTAGGTAGCATACAGTTACAGATAGATGCCTATAAATGTTGTGCAATAGCATTTAAACTCAATCATTTACATTACTTTTTCAACAATTTGAATTTTAGGATGTGATTAAGCAGTAGATCCTGTGAAACCTTTTTTTTACAGTGAATTTAGAAAAGTTTAGCATGTCCAATCTGCAAAAAATGTACAATTTTGTAACTTAATATTCAAGCTAAATTATTAAATGTAATTTTTGTGAAACTACAACAATTATTAATATGTTTATATTACTGTGAGGGGTAGGATTAGGGTTGGGGTAGGCGTTAATAAAATGCAATGTAATGGGTAATTTAATTAACAATATGAATAATAATCCGCATAATAATTATTTTACATTACTCTGATTGGTTGGGTTTAGGGTTGGATATAGGTACACGTTAATAAAATACAATGAATGCATAATTTAATAAACAATATAAATAATTCTTATTAACCGGCAGCAGCTATATCTCTTCTTGCAATAACCATATATAAAAAAAATATCAAAACATGTATATACTGTATATACATATGTATAAATACGGCAGTAGGTCCGTTGAAACCTTAAGTTAAGCAAAAATTGAGCCCTAAAAGGCTAAATATGTTTATTATGTAACTTAATATTCAAGTTAAATTATTAAATTACATTTTTGTTACACTACAACTATTATTAATATGTTTATAGTACTGTGAGGGGTAGGATTAGAATTTGGTTATAGGGTAGGTGTTAATAAAATGCAATGTAATGGGTAATCTAATTAATAATATAAATAATACTTAGTATAATAACTATTTTTACATTAACGTGATTGGTTGGGTACGAGTAGACCTTGATAAAATACAATGAATGAGTAATTTAATAAACAATATAAATATGTCTCATAAACCAGCTGCAACTGTATCCCTTCCCGCAATTATACATATATACACACAGTTAAAGTCAGAATTTTTAGCCCCTTTTTTTGTTTCTTTTTCTTTTTTAAATATTTCCCAAATACTGTATGACAGAACAAGGACATTTTCACAGTATGTCTTTTATTTCAGCTAGAGTAAAAGCAGTTTTAAATAAAAATAAATAAATAAATAAATAAAAAAAACATTTTAGGGTCAAAATATTAGCCCCTTTTAGCTATTTTTTTTTTTTGATAGTCTAAAGAACAAACCATTGTTACATACAATAACTTGCCTAAATACCCTAACCTGACTAACCGTTAAATGTTGTTTTAAGCTATATAGAAGTGTCTTGAAAATATGCAGTAAAATATGATTTACTGTCATCATGGCAAAGATAAAATAAATCAGTTATTACAAATGAGGTATTTAAAACTGTTATGTTTAGAAATGTGTTGAAAAAAAATCTTCTCTACGTTAAACAGAAATTGGGAAAAAAAATAAACAGGGGGGGCTAATAATTCTGACTTCAACTGTATGTGTATGTAAATACTGGTCTTTAAAGTTACCAAAACTAGTTGCAACGTCTAGTAAGAAAATCAGCATTCCAGCATGTTGATACTGCAGCCTTTGCCAAACTTTAATTTCCTGGCTTTTCGTTTTTAACATGCACCTCAGAGGCACTGTGGATGAAAAATGGTGTTCTTACCCTCCCGGAGGTCCTTAAATCTCATTTTGTCTTGTGGCTGGAGAAGCATTTTAACCAGTCCGGCGTGAGTGCTGACATCTGTGGTGGAAACCTGGAGTTGTGGAACAGGTTTGGTCTTCTTTTTGCTGCCCTATAGGAGTAAAAACAGATAGAAGTGATCGTACAGATGATAAATCAAATATTAATTTTCCACTATTGTTTTCATTTTCATTATAATTACCACCAACGCTCATTTACATGAAGAGTCGCTAAAAATAAAACAGATATACAGTCATTGCAATATAGAAATTGCACACTTGAAACAAATTTCCAGCTAAAAGCTTTGCTGGCCTATGAATGTAATTCCATATATGCATTTCCCACATTTGATGGCTGACAGGGCATGCGGTCAATTCAAATTCAATTCCGTAAGCTTGGTGTAAACAATAAAATTACATTTGTAATTCAATCTCACACAAACCACTCTGCTACTGCTTTTTAATGGGCCAAAATGAAATTGAGCCTCAGCTAATTCACATTCCTGCATCTGTACAGCTCAAAGCCATTCAGACCCTGTTGAAAAAAGTCTTTTCTGTTTTTGGTAATGGCTGACTTTCACAGTTAGAAAATACTATACTGGGTATCCAGTATTTTCGCTGGTGAACAACAGCATGGTTTGTCTGCTCCTCCACCAAACCAATGTTAAAATGCATGTTGAAGCTGATCATTTGAGAACACGGGTTGGTAGGCTGATGATTGAATGTATGCTTGAATTACTAAATACAATAATAGATTTTCTAACCTTATCCAAGTAGGGAGTCATTTTAAGCTTAGGATGGGATGTTAGGGTCGGATATTTTCCATAAGTCTTCTGCTCGTCAGCAAAATCCTCTTCCTCGTCACCATTTCCATCCGGCTTACTGAGACACAGAGAAATAACAATGCCAATAATGTTAGTATTATCTGAAATAGCATTTGAACTCAAATATTTGCATTACTTATTCATCATTTTAATTTTTAAGCTGTGATCAAGCAGTAGGTCTTGTGCAACTGTGGTTTACAGTAAATTTAGAAAAGCTAAGCATGTCCAATTGGTAAAAATGAGCCCTAAAAGGCAAAATTATTTATTATGTAACTTATTATGCAAGTTAAAATATTAACTGTCATTTTTCTGCAAAAAAAAAAAAGAATGTTCAACAGAATGTTCTGAGGTGTTGCATGCTTTGTCTGATGGAGCTCAAATAAAAAAGAGGCTACAAATTATTGCATGTGCTACATACAGTATATCAGCGTTTTTTGGATGAGTTGCAACCCAAAAGTGGTTTTGTGATGTGCAGCGTTTCTTTTAATTGACGTGTGTGAAAGCTATTGATGCTTCTGTCAGATGTGGTTCAAGAGAAAGTGCCTGGGAAAAACATGCTGTCCTAAATAATACAAGCTGATTTACATAGAACATGAAAAGCAGTATTTGAGTTTCAGTCAGCATACTTATGCATTACTTTATGTTATTTTTTTAGCACAAATAAAGTGTAAGTAGTGTGTCCATTTTGAAAATTCCAAAAGAAAAGCCCCCTTTAAATACACCTGGACGTTGCACTTATTTAATGTAAAAATTTGGAATGTGAGTGAAATGTTGGACACTTCAACTGGATGCAATCAACGGTCTCAGTTTAGTTATATAGTCTGCAATAGATTACTTTTGACTACAAATATAAATGTCAAAAATGTGGGGGCTCATACCACTTTATTAAATTTATTGTATTAATAGAAACTAAACTGTATTTGCTATTTAATAGCTTCTCCTTGCATGTTATTATTAATAATAGTCATATTATTTTAGCTTATACAACCCCAAATCAGAAAAAGAAAGGTCAAATACGTGAAAAAAAATATTGAAATGTTTAAGAACAATGTTCAACAAAGAAAGATAGTAAGACATTTGGAAATTTCTCCTACAACCTTGTATAACATCATTAAAAAATTCAAGGAATTTCAGTGCATGGAGGACAAGTGCGCAAACCTAGACTGAACAACCGTTATCTTTGATCCCTTATCAAAAATCCTCATTTATCAAGAAGCAATATCACCACAAAGGCTCAGGATTACTTTGGCAAACCTTTGTCAAGTACCATAATATGTAGTTATATCCACAAATGCCACTGAAAACTGTACTGTGCTAAAAGGAAGTCTTTTGTTAACAGTTTCCATAAGCGCCGTCTACTTCTCTGTACTATATATATATAGTACAGTGGTACTTGTGTGTATGTGTCAATCTTTGATGTAGTATAAGTTTGAAAGCATTTCTCCAGCTGAGAACTAGTCCCCTTTTTGACCTTTTGCTCAAAATGATAACAAAATGTCTCTCTCTCTTTTCATCTTTTTCTCTGTCTGTCTCAGTCAGTCTATCAATGAGAATAAAAACTTGTAAACGCATCCCAGTTTAATTCAAAAACAAGTATCATTGATAATCACAGGTGTGCCCTAGTTATTAGCACCTCTATGAGTTCAAATGAGCAAACTATTTTAAAAGAATATTCTCAGATATATCTTTTCATAATACACTGGTAACAACTGAAATTGTTATGAATTTGCAAGTAAAAGGAAGTGTGAATATATTGAGTAAAACATCAAAAGGTTAATCTATAAAGAACACTTTTCACAGCCTAATTTTTATATAGATAAAGTTATATATTATTATGTGAAAATATTTTTTTACTAATATCAGTGAATAGCACTGCATAAATGATATTTACTCAACCGCATACATCCGTTTATCTGTCAGGAGACTACTCTTATCATTTAAACCAGATGGGTTATAAAGGCATAAAATTCACCAGTAACATTTGTCACTAATTATAACTTAATGATCTCACAGATGAGTGTTTGAAAAATACCTTATAAGGGCTTTTAATGCAGTTCAGCCAATCAGAAAAAAGTGAGTAATTTAAGTGCTTTTAGTTTTCTGCATTGCTATTGCACAGCAATTATTAATTTGTCAGTGGTATTACCTAAGCAGCAGGTATGGTGTTGAAGAGCCCGTCACAGTCCAGATGACAGGTTTAGAGTTGAACTGAGAGATGATCAGCTGCAGTGTGATGTCCGCAGTTCCATACCGCAAAGGGGTAAATGTCACTTTCAACACAGTCTTTCCATTTGCAGGAATGATCCCTGATTAATAGAAGGATAACACTTGTACAGTACAAGTCTAGTACTAGTATACATTTGATCACTAATTATTATATCAGTGTTTAATTAACAGCCTTCTGGAAAACTTGATTCTGGTTGGTCAGTCATGAATAAGGTATGTTATTCCCCAATAACATACCAGTAAAACTAATAGCACAAGCTTGTATGGGTGCAACAAATAATCATCATCAAATTATTATAGCTAAAAACAATATTTTATGTCTAATTGCTTACTTTTGTGGCAAGTAATATTTGAATTTTGAGATTTGAAATTTCTAGACGGCCTGTGTTATTTAGTGGTTGTTATCTAGGAAGAACATACATTAGAATGTTGCAACTGACCAATTAAAACCAAGAATTTCAGACAGATGTATAATAATCTGCAATAACAACTGGCTAGAAGTACATTATACCTAACAGTAGTTATGTGGAATATGAAGGAATTTTGTTACCTGAAAGTGGTCTAACAGTAAAGGCCTTATGGGGCTGAAGGCAGTGCACTTGGAACTCAAAGTCTACTGGACAACTGCAGCTTAGTGGAATCACATGAGTTGTACTATAAAAGCAATAGAAAATGAAAGAGTAATGTTAAGGGATGCACGATATATTGGCGGCCATATTGATATCGGCTGATAAATGCTATTTTTGATGTTAACATTATCGGTCTGACAAGGAAAAAATTATATATTATTTCTGATGTTTAAAACTGCTTTTTCGTTGTTTCACAGATTTTGGTAAATGTTCAGTGACTTGGATTCTTTATGGATGCATTATTTATTTAATTTTTTGTCAGGCAGTAGATTTTATTTAAGAGCATTTAGAAAAGTGTATTTTATTAATAAAGTTCAGAGATTACTTTTATGAAGCTATGGTTTTAAAATAAAATCAGAAGTTCACTCTATGTTTTTGTTTGTTTTTATGCAATCATTCATAAAAATTAGAAATATTTATATTTATCAGCTAATAGGGCCAGACCGAATCTGCGGACGGTTTTTGCTATGTCTGCAGAAAATTTTGGTAAAAATCTGCAGATTTCTGCGGAATTATTTTGGGAGTATAATAACTTAAACCTTAATATGTGAAATAAAAAGTAATACCTTTTAAACTTCTATTTAATGTTTAAATTGCAAATCTAATTAGATTCACTTTATTTGGTAAACAAAGCAAGTCTCTCATATAATATATCTACTAAAAGACAGAAAATATTACTTTACAAACTGCATTGTACATCAATCAGATGAACATTTTCATATTAGTCAATAATATTACTGTAATTAATTTAAAAACAGAATGAATATAGATTTACACACATTTACTCAATATAATAAACAGAATTAATAATGGGCTAAAAATCTGCAGTAATCTGCGGAATTCTGCTGAAAATCTGCGGAATTCTGTGCGCGCAGATTCCGTGTGGGCCTAGTTATCGGCCTCCAAATCTAATGAGTTATTGGTTATCGGTATCGGTCAAAAAATCTACATGGGTGCATCCCTGGTAATATTTAGACTTTTTCCTTTGTGAATCACATGAAAGAAACAAATCCCAGTTATATAACCTGTTATTGGTGTAATTTGATGATTACTGTAAACTGTACCTCTGTCCAAGCGGCACTGGGGGAAGACTAATGTGAGATGGGATGTGAAGGTCATTGATAACAGGATATGCATGAACGGGAACCAGTAAGTTCTCTTCTCCCTTAAAACAACACAACAGACACATCAACACTGTTTGGCCACTTTTTGAATTTGCATCTGCAAACAACAGCCAAACCCATGTTTTTACCTTGCCATGAATCCTAATGTTATCAGAAAAGTAACGCCACTCGTCTGGTCGAAAAAACACTGTAACAGTGTAAGCAAGACCCGGGACTAGTCGGCACTGCATTTAAAATAAGGAAAAAGCAATCAATTTTACAATCTTAATGTTCTTTAGACAAGCCTTATTTTTGTTCATGCAAGATCTTATTGAATAAAAAAATACTTAACACATCTATAATGAAATATAGAAAGAGTGGGGGAAAAGTATTGAACATGTCACCATTTGTCTCAGAAAACATATTTTTAAAGGTGCTGTTGATTTGAAATTTTCCCCAGATGTTGGTAACAACCAAAACAATTCATATATGCAAAGAAAATAAAACTAATTAGTGTACAAATTAAGTTATGTGTAAAAAAAAAATCAAATGACACAGGAAAAAAGTATTGAACACATGATAAAAGTGAGTTGTAGAAAGGCAGTGAAAGCCCAGAGAGAAGCCGAAATCTCTCATTAGTTCTTCAGCAACCCTCTGACCTTCATCATTGTAAATGAATATTAGCTGCTTCAGTACAACATCTACATTAGCAGGATGATGAAGAGGGAACCAGGGTGGACATTTCAACGAGACAATGATCCAAAACACAGTCAATGAAACTCTCAAATGCTTTCAGAGAAAGAAAATCAAGCTGTAGAATGGCCCAGCCATTAACCTGACTTAAATCCAATAAAAAATACAAAAATAAAGATCAGTTTGGATGGACAAAATCCACAGAACCATCAAGATCTTTACACTCTGTTGAAGTCTTGACTTTTTCTCCATATAAGAGGCATCTTTAAGCTGCCATCACCAAAAAAATAAGCCATTCATATAGTAGTATATTGTATAATATATGTTTCAGTAGTTTAGTACTTTATTCTTGTGTCATTTTATTGTTATCACACAGAACTCATTTTTCATTTTTTTGTTTGTTTTGTTTTATTTTAATGTTCGTATTATTTGGGTTTTTTCAAAAATCTGGTTCAATTCCATGTCAACAGCTCCTTTAGAAATATTATTCCCAGGAAAAAAAACATGACATGTTGAATACTTTCCCCCATTGATATAATGAAATGAGACAAAATAAACAAAATATTAGTAACTAAAAATATCAGTAACATTAAAGTATGCTGAAAAACAGATTGTGAAATGGGTTACCTTTTTGGTGTACTTTATTTGGAATTCCTTTGTCTGAGGTGGTAAAATGTGGACACTCAGCACGTCCGAGGAAACATTGACAAGTTTCTTTAAAAAAAATAAATGTTTTTTTTATTACATCACACTTCCTCCAATATTTTTCCCCTTCTGAAAGGTTTCTTTCAGTTACAACTGTTTAAGGTGTTTCCTCTTTGACCACAGAGTACTATCAGTGGATAACTGGCCATGTGTGTCAGAAAATGGAGTCTCCGGTGAGGTCTTTAGAATGACTGAATATTTGTTTCAGATCAATGACACAAATAATAAGTCACATTATATTACCATTGCATGAGTCATGTTAACATTCCACATGAGATTTAACATAAAAAAATGTATTCAGTTTTTAAGAAGAATGATAAGAAAAACCAACCAGGATCTTCTTATAATCTTTTCCTACTTCAAAGCCACTGAAATGCAGTTCTGATGGCTCGGCCTGAACTACACTGTTACTCTTCAATGTGGTAAACACCTCTGAAAGAAACATTAAAACACAATTATAAAAGATGATATAGTTTGTCAGTCTAAAACGATGCAGGTTATGTACTTTCTCAAAAAGCTATAATGTTTAAGAAATAAACATCAGACAAGGTAATAATGGTTCTACTTGTTTCCAAAAGGTGATTAGGGACAGTTGCAATCGTTCTGGTGTCCTCCAGCAGTTGGCTTAGAGGAAGTGGGTTTTTCCTCTTTACAGTCCTGGAGAACGTCTCAGGGGCAGAATGAACCACCTCCATCCCAGCCAGATCCTGATCACAACAACTAATCTAAACCTGTGAGCAGGTAGTTGACATATTAACTTACAACATCAGTGTAAAACTCAGTGCTTTGTATTGTACTAACGTTACCTTAAATTATTAACAGTTTTTAAATTAGAATTGTATGTACAGGCACTTTTATAAGCTCATGATGTGAGACATCATGGAATACTTAAGAGTATTTAAAGGCATTTAACGTTAACATAAAGCAGGCTTGATAGTCTTAAATGTTCAATTGTCCATGTTAGTTATATATCCCACTGCAAAAAAATATCCTTGGTTTTTATTGTGGTAGAAGTGTAGTAACCTAAAAGTAAAGGATGTAATAAGAAGTCATATTTTTGGTTTGTTTTTGAGTGAGATTGATAACCATTTGTATAACCACAGCATTACTACAAATACGTTAACGTACCATGGTTAAACAACTTTAACGTTAGTGTATTAGTTAGTAGTTTTATGTAAAACCATGATTAATTTTCGTAAGAGAATTCAAATCGATTCTTTATCATTTCAAAGCTTTGTATATTATAAAGGTCCCATCTCTTCTCAGCTTTAGATATTCAATATAACTTACATGAACGATTTTCATAGTACAGCAAATAACGGGAGAGGGACGATTGAAAGGAAGTCTAGGGCTGATGTGAGTTGGTAAACCACGTAACGTCGTCGACGTTAGTGTTTTACTCGATATACTTTGGTTAATTCATTCATGTTGTTTGTTTGTTTGTTAAATCGTTTTATGATTAAAAGAACACTTGAAAACTCGCTTGAATCTCAAACAACGTACCTGTTGATCCTCCATTGGAGTCACGTCAACAATACCCGTCACTATAACAACAAGAGACGCTGAGCTTTAAAGGGATAGTTCACCCAAAATAAAAATCTACACCGTTCACTCAACCTTTGCCACAAACCGAAACCGTTATGAGTTTCTCTCTTCTGTTGAACAAAAAAGAAGATATTTTGAAGAAAGCATAAAACCTGTAACTATTAACATTTATAATAGGAAAAACAAATACAACAGAAGAAGCAAACTCAAACAGGTTTGTGACACGGGAGAGTAGGAGAGAGCAGGGCACAAAGTAACTTATTGGTTTTGGTCATGTAATGAACAAAGTAATAGGGTTAGACAAACTATAATTGTCAACACACCTACAAATGAGCACTAGAATCATAATCGCCGGACCAATGATTTCTGCGCAGTATTGCCAAAAGTGCCAGGAACATAAATGTTATTTACCCCACCATAAGTTGTAACAGACGGGGTTAGTTGTAACAAATGCTGTTAAATTAAGGCAGATTTCACACAATTAATTTAAATTCAGTTTACTTAAATAGCTATATTTCTTTTTTATTCAGCACAATGTTTATTTTTTATTTTTTTTGTTTATTAGATAAACAAATTTGAATCTATTTGCATTATCCATTCATTCATTATTATACACTGCATTATTTGCATTATTAGCAATAAAAAAATTCTATTAAAACAATATTTTCTCATGAAAAAAAACATTTTTATTTAAAAAGTTCTTAACATTACACTCTAAATAAAATTTAAAAAAAATCTCGACTGTAATAAAAAAATACTTTATGCTGCAAAAATAGTTTCACCGTCCAAATTTTACAAAACTTTTTAAATAATTGGGAGGAAGATGTCTGCCGACACTGTGGTGAAAACCTCGGAAGCATGCTATGGTCAACCCTGAGCAAATACCTTAAAACTCTGTGTTAAATTTAACCCAGCATTACTTTGTGCCCCGTGCTCCCCTAAAGCCACGACTGTATTTTTCAGTTTGGGGTGAACTATCTGAAAAGGTCAATGTTGTTGATTTAATGTGTCTGCAACATCATTATGTATTTTAAATGTAATTCAATAAATCAATTTTAATATTGTAACAAAAGTTACCCGAAAAGTAAAAATACAGATCTGTCTTTCGTGAAACCAAACAGTTCTATTTGTATGGCTCATTAATCAAATTGACTTAAATTTCTAATTGATTTTCATGTTTTTGCTTGAGTTTTAAAACTAAAATATGTTGCATATTAATTGAGCACACACTTAATATTCATAAAATGTTGACATTAGTATTTTCTACACTTCAGGGCTTAATTTATGCCGGAACAGGCTGGATCCGGCACCTCATTTTACCGATCCCCCTCCTCGCATGTACGTCCGCCACGCCCCTCTCCGCGCTTTCGTCCATGACACCTCTCCCACCTCAGGTAACATGCCAGATCCGGTACCCTGATCTGTTCCGGGACCTCACAATTTACAATTGAAGCACTGTACATATTATATACATAATAAAATAATATTAGCTTTTAAGTTGCCCCAAAATATTTTACCCCAAAATGTTTTTACATATCTAAATGAAAAAAATAGAAAACATTACATAACAGCATTGTGTGAATCTCAATGCAAACAACGTAGACCAACCAAAAAAAAAAGAAGAGAAATCCAGCTCAGTTTTATTTATTGTAAAACATTTATCCATTTCACAAAAACATAAAATGTTTTTTTTTTTAAATCATAAAGTACATTCAGTCCACTTAGCATAAAAGCAAACAACATTTTCTTCAAGAAATTATATACATTACATTCAATCCATACAGTGCAATTATATACAACAATATTTATACATGCTTCACAAAATCAGAGAATTTCTAAAGGAATAGTTCACCCAAAACTGAATATTCTCTCACCATTTCCTTTGCGGTTCTTCTATTAAACATAATGGGCCCTATCATACACCTAGCACAATAAGGTGCAAGATGTGTTTGGTGCGATTTGTTGCTATTTTCAGACCAGCGCAACTGTAATTTTAATGTTTTGCACCACGTTGTTTAAATAGCAAGTTCATTTGCGCCACTTTGTGGACTCATGGGTGTGCTTGTCTAAAAAGGAGGTGTGTTAGAGCACTTTGTCTGCCTGTTTTTAGGAACAGAAATAGACTGCACCATTGACCACTTAAAAGCTGGTCTAAAGTCTAGCGCAGAGTGCGTTAGAGATGTGCTTATGTATTATATAGTAGTAAGTAAGGTAGTATTGCTTATTATATGCATATTTATATTTGTTTTAATAAAAGAAGTTTAGATTTGACCACCTGTCGGGATTTGGAGAGGTCTGCATCACCATATGAGGCATAAGAATAGGACATGAGTTTGGATTTAACTTAGTTTTTTGACCAAACTTTGTTATTATTGTTTATTTATTCGTTTGATGAAAATGAGAACTGAATTTAGAAATAGTTTTGAAACAAATCTTTGCGATTAACAAACTAAATTAAATATGTAGGCTAATGGATGTCTTTAGTGGAGCGCGTACAACACTGTTTCCTTATACACTAAGGTAAAGGAGTAAAGTAGGAGTAAAAGGAAAGAGAAAATAAAGAGGCCGAATGGAAAAGGCTCGATCTTTATTCTCGCACTGCAGATGGTCTGTTTAACTGTTTTCGCGCTAGTGAAGCGTTCAGTTTTTCCACTTATAAAGTTCGTCATGTATATAGCAAATGCGCCATGGTGTGACACAACTGACTCTTAAAGGAAAAGGGAGATGAGACTGATTTAATGCACATTATGCTTAAAACACACCTATAACTCATTAAGAGAATAAGCATAACCCTGTTAGACCATGAGCCGGGGTGCACAGTGTATTTTTTGGGTCCTTAAAATAGCAAAAGTGGATTTAGACAAACCTTTAATGCTTTTGCGCCCTGCACTTTAGACTTTGCGCGTAGATCATTAAAATAGAGTCCAATATGTGTCTAAGGAAATATTGATGTCCATAGTATCTTTGTTCCCTACTGAATGTCAGTCGCTTAGAGCTTTACATATTCTTCAAAATATCCTTTTTTATAATAAAGAAACTCAAAGTAAAAACCACCGTAACTTTTCAGTTTTAGGTAAACTATCTCTAAGTAAAACACGCAGGCTGTTTTTGCCATCAGGAAACACGCTCAGAGTTCGCTACATTATAATAACTAGCTTGAGTACTACTAGAGCCTCCACAACAGGACTGAGTGAAGAGTGAATTCTTCAAGCACAATGGATAGAGCTGGTTGGGGTAGAAGAGCGGTGCGGGTTTCATGTGCATTAGAAGTTTATAGTCCTCCTCCATCTCTTCTATCGGTGCGAGGACGCATGATGAAACAGACTGCTCGTCCTCGGAGATCTGGCTTTTCTCACAGAGCTCCTCATACTGCTGGTCTTCAGATACGGTGCTGATTTTATCATGCTGTTCTTTCTGGTGTGGAGGATGTTGGGTCGCTTCAGCACTCCAAAATGACGGCACAAACAGATTCTAGAAGAAACCAACAAACACACAAAAAAATTGCCATTTGATGTTTGTTTAAACAACTACTGCTATTTAAATTGAGCTAAATCACTGAGGTTGGGGGGGGGGGGGGCAATTTGATTGTTTTGTTCGATCCACTTAAATTTGTTAAAACCTTTAAATTAACTTAATCGTTTTGTGTTGGGACAACGTGAAGGAATTGTGTTTTTATTTTAAAGTGTACACACACAAAAAATGATGTTTGCTGTTTGTTTAAACTCATTTAAAATGAGTTGAAACAAGTTTTTGGGGGACAACTTAATTGTTTTATGTTCAATCCACTTAAATTTGTAAAAACCTTTAAATTAACTTAATTGATTTGTGATGGGACAACAAAGGAATTGTGTGAAACCCATTTTACAGCACACACACAAAAAAATGACATTTGGTGTTTCAAATGAGTTGAAACAACACAATTTCATCGGTTTTTCTTGAGGGAGGGGGGGGTGGGGGCAACTGAATTGTTTTATGTTCAATCTACTTAAATTTGTAAAAACATCAAGTTAACTTAATTGTGTGGAAGCCAGCATATTTAACATTGTATTAAAAGGTTTATAATCAGTTTAACAAGTATAATTAGCTTATAATCTGTTTTGGGTATTTGAAGTAAGGTTTAAATCAAATATAAATATTAGATAACAAATTAAAGTTAACTAGAAACATTCTAATATATTAAAAAAACAAAAGAGGAAAAAAGCTAAACAAATGGCCAAACAATGTACTGAAGATTAATTAAAAATGTAAAGAAAAAGACTATTCAATATAATAATAGATACTTCAATATTAAAAATATACCCTTTATGAATCATACATTTTTACATTAGTTAACCAATACTAATACTACATTAACTTACTACAGTACTGTTTTAGTATCTTTAAAAAAACTGATGTAGTTTTTAATTCGATATAATTCTTTTTCATTTGCATTTTAGCAATATTAACTCTAGCAGTGTTGTGTTTTTGTATTTATTTATTTATTGAACTGTAATTGTAGTTATTATTGTACATTAATTGGATGAACATTTGGTAACTATGTCTAAATAAAACCAGTACATGTAATTCATTTCAAGTACTTAAAATGGTTTTAGTTTCATAGTTTAGTTTTAATAACCCTGACTTACAAATGCGTTTGTTTAGGTTAAATAGTTAAACAGTTGTTAAATAATAAGCAAACACTCCATTTAACTCACCGACAGCTGTCATATTTTTAATAAACGACATTAACATATTGCATAATTTAGATGATTACCCCCAAAAGCTATGTACAAAATAATGTCATTTACCTTCAGATGTTCTGGTAGTTTGGTTTTAGGGTAGAGGAATCTGTAGACTTTGATGATCAGCCAGGCGGCCAGAATGGCTATAGGAACAAGAACAACAGCAGCGATTCCACAGCTGACCAGAACTAATGCAAAAACACACGCAACACTGTCAACAGGACGTCATTTTAGACATTTAAACATTTCCACTTCATAAACAAAAACACTTCCTGGAGTCAGGTTAGTTCTCAGTTTAACAGAGGATGTAACTATCTGCCATTTACAATAAATGATCTATAATCCCATGACGCGGATTATTGGAACTGTCTTTCCAACTGATACTGAATATTTAGAAGGGGATGGGGCTGTCTTTTTATCCATAAAACATAATATTTTGACTTCACGTGGACTTTAAAGTTTTATCAGTTATTGTTAATTAGCTTACTGTCCACTTACCTGGTACATTAGTCACACATACAGGAGTGCTGTACTGTCCCACTTCTTTAAGGCCTTTGGGATCCACCTTTGCCTGAACACAATATCTGCTCCATGGATGTAATCCTTTAATACGCTGTTTCACATCTTCATCACTGGATGTAGAAATTTTCTTTATTGACTACAGGGACAAAAAATCATCTTACTGTTATTTCATCCTACACCCTTTATTCATCAGTCCAGCATGAAGCCTTGCACAATTTCAATGTGTTTTAAACATGTATAGGTTATTACTAGTATTAGTTTTTGTTGTCACACTATACAAATAGGTTGATGTTAGGTATTTATTTACACAAACAAATAATGAACAATGGATTTATTACAGTGTATATTCATATTTTTTAATGTCAGTTATTGGAAATCAAGTTGTTCATGTTAACTCACAGTGAATTAACTAATATTAACAAACATGAATTCAGATTAACAACATAATAGTACATGCTTATCTATGAATAACAAATGTTATTTAAGCATTGATCATAATTAGTACATGTTGGTAAATGCATTAACGAATGAAGCCTTATTGAAAAGTTGACCATTTTAATGACTTTAATGTTAACTACTTTTAATTCTAACAACATTTTCTATTTTAGTTTCTATCAAATCTTTTTGATTTGCTCTGTGGGTATGTACAGCAGTATCTAAATCAGCATACTATCATCTCAAAAACATTGCAAGAATTAGATGCTTTGTTTCCATTGAAGATTGTTCATGCTTTTATCAGCAGTAGAGTGGATTACTGTAATGGACTCCTCACTGGCCTTCCCAAAAAGACAGTCAGACAGTTGCAGCTCATTCAGAACGCTGCCAGAACCAGAAAATCAGAGCACATCACACCTGTCCTCAGGCCTTTACACTGGCTCCCAGATACACTCAGAGTAGATTTTAAAGTTTTACTACATGTCTATAAACCTATAAAACAGATCGCTCAGATCATTTGCATCAAGTAAATTAAAAAATCCCAAGAGTTTAGTCAAAGCAGTGTGAATTTACCTTCATCTACTGCCCCATCACATCTGATTAGCCGTGCTTTGTTGAATAAGCACTGTGCTATGTCCAACAGATAGCACTATTAAGTCTTTCTTTTTTAATGCCTTTAAAATCTGTTTTTATCTGTTTCTGATCATTTTTTAATTCTTTTAATTGTTTTTATTTTCTCATCTCCTTTATGTCCTTTAAGTTATGTTTGTTTATGTAAAGCACTTTGAATTACCATTGCGTATGAAATGTGCAAGATAAAAAAACTTGCCTTGCCTCTGACTTTCTAATACTAACATTTCTCGAGTTTACACTTGCAGGTGTTTAAGAATAAAGCGAACTTGGCATACTGTCCATGGAGAGGGCTCTGAGCTCAGGGAAGACACCCCAACTCATGTTATAGTTTGGTCTAATGCTGATTGGATAATAGAATGGTTGTCAACAATGTATTTGAATTGCTAAAACATCTGCGCGTGCTACTCCAGAAATTTGGTTATAAAACATCACTAAGGGCGTATTCACACTATGTACTGTTGCCTCGAAACGGGCCACAGAATACTTGTCCTCCCTCCCGTCTCCCCCGACGGCCCGCACCCACATTACAATCGGGCCTGGGCACGATTACGTCATTGATGTTGCGCTGTTCAGTAAGCGCTCTTGCCCAGCACAGTGGAGATTTCTCTAGTTATATCGCTTTATTCCTTAGGAACAGATCAGCCACTTTTGACCCACATAAACAATCATAAAGTCCTCGTGCTGCAGGAATTAGGAGGTTTGCTGAAGGTGCGCAGCTGTCGTGCAGTGAGGAGTTTCTCACGGCAAACTAAAATATAAACTATAGCAGTTTGCGTTCATTGAACAGTAAGAATGATTAATAAATTCATATGAAACAGTCCCTTAAAAGTCACGTCTTGCTTTCAGTTTTGGGCTTTGGCAAGTTTTGCACTCACACACAAGTGTACCACACCAAAGTCCAAGTAAACTACACTCAGGCACACCTCTTCCAACCCGGCCGGGGGCGGGCTGATTCAGTGCACTCACACTTCTCAAACGATCCAGGAAATGGGCCTGGGCACGGTACGAATATCATAGTGTGAGTTGGCCCTAAAAAGTGTGTACTGATAAGTAATTGTCACATTATTTACATTTTTGTTGCTCTTTGTTGCAAAAATGTTTGTCAATAATTGAATGTAAACAAACAGCATATAATCTTCAACTAAATCAAACTTTAAAATTGCTGTAAATGCTCTTAAAATTCAAAATAACCCTTTTTTTGAGCTAAAAATGAAGGCATGACCCAAATGTCTTAAAAGTAGTGATATAAAAAAAAAACATAAGCATTTTCATACCTCATCTTCAATGCCTTCGATCCGGTGTTTGATGGTGTAGGTCACTTGTGAAAAAAATGTGGAAAGTTTGCCGATTTTCAGAATGGGTGCTCGAACAGTCACTTCCAGACTGTTATTCTGGATGACGAGATGCACAGCAGGAGGTCCTATGATAGCTACAAGGGAGCAAAAGAATTCACATAATTAGAATATTGCATTAAATATTCATTTCACAATGACCTAACAACACAACAAAGCTGGGGAAAAAAACGGATTCACACTTACTGTGCTGATGAGGTATAAATTTGGGTGCTTTAGCCCATTCAGAGAACATCCCATTTTTCTCTGCCCGCACTTGAAAAATGTAGCACCCAAATGCATACGGCAAAACTCCCGCATCACATTTCAGCTCTGTGGTTTTCACACAGATGGAAGAGACATTTCCCCAATCGCAAGGACTGAGCATCATTGACAAACACACACATAAACACACAAAACAATATATGTAAGTCAAATATGCAGGTAGAATGAGCCTATTGTTTTCAACTTCTGCAGAAACCTACACTGTAAATAATATCCGCAAATTAAGTTTTCCGTATTTGGTGATTCATCTTGTGTAACTTTTAACCTTGGAAATTTCAAAAAAGGGACTTTTATTAACATTGGTATTAGTTTAAAGTTATATATCGTCTAGCTTGGTGTCGTATGTTACAATATAAAAACTTTGTAATAAACTGCCAGTACATTTTCTGTTATTTGACACACTTCTTTCTCTAAATATTATACATTATATCATTTCAAACTACTAACAAGTCAATAAAAGTCAACTTTGTAAAACTGTAGAGTTAAAATTTCAAGTCTTCTGGAGAAAGTCTTATTTTATTTTATTTCGGCTAGAATAAAAACAGTTATTAATTTTTTAATCACCATTTTAAGGACAAAATTACAAAAGGAGGCAGAGCAGAGATCAAGATCCCATAATGCAATTCACAACCGTAAATTAACAGAAAACATGTTAATAATATGGTAACTGTTAATGTACAGATATTTTTAACAGTGTGGAATTTCATGTTACAGAGAATCAAGTTTACTGGAAATAATTGCAAACTAATATATAAGCATTTTTGCGTATTTTAAGTGTACTTACACATATCTTACAGTGTACGTCATGTTCCTGATGGAATTGTGTGGAGACGTCCACTCGACAACTGCACCCATGTTGATGGAGACCACCTTCACGTTCTGAGGTGCAGCCAGCTTCGTTTCTAGAGCAAATCAGAGTAACACAACGGTAAGTGATACATTATTCATTCATTCACTTTCCCTTGGCTTAGTCAGAGGTCGCCACAGCGGAATGAATCGTCAACTAGTAATACGTTATATAGAAGGTAGTGCTGGATATTGGAAAAATCGAACATTGTAATATTTTTTTATTCTGCGATATATTGCGATATGAACACAATTTCACCAGATGAGTTGAATAAATATTTGGAATAAATTTATAGTTTTTAGACTGATTGGGATGATTCTGTCGGGGAGTGCATATAAATAAAATATCTTAAACAATCTACAAGCACAGACAAATTCAATAAAGAGAAGGAGAGAAATAAAAAAAAAAAACAGTGTTTTCTTGTTATCAGATCAGAGAAGTCGGACTGTATTCAGGTATAGAGTAATTGAATGATCAAATGTAAAATAATACTGCATAGTCTTCATTTTATAAACAATTCAATAAAATGAATTGTTATTAGTTTGTCAAAGTTACAAACAGTACATTTTCTAATTCCTGAATAAAACCCTCACACAGTCACAGGCCTTAAAAAACTCTTGCAAAAAGCTACATTTTTATCTAGACTCAACATTGCGTATACTCGCAATGTGCCTATTGCTAATGATCCAATTCTGATATCGATGGTGAAACCATATATTGTGCAGCCCTAATAGCAGGGGTGTCCAAACTGAGTTCTAGAGGGCCGGTGTCCTGGAGAGTTTGGCTACAACCCCAATCAAACACACCAGCTAATCAAGCTCTTAATAGATACAGAAACTTCCTGGCAGATGTGTTGAAGTTAGAGCTAAACTCATCAGGACACCGGCCCTCCAGGACCGATTTTTGAGCCCCTTGTTATAAAGCATTATTTTTTTATTGCGAATTGCATGTGTCTTTTTCTTTGTCCCGCCTTTTTGTTGTTTTTTGTTTTCCCATAGGCCCCCATTCTGGCGTGATTCATGCTCTGATTGGCTGCTGGGCTCGGAGGCCTGTATAAAAGGGAGCTTCCGGCAGGATTCGAGGAGCTCATTTGTGCTGCGACGGTTGCGGGGAGTGAACGCCTGGATTTCCCTTACCCCTCCGGCCGAAGTCCAACATTCAATCTTGTTACCATTGTTCATACGTTCAACTTCTTTTGAGAGTTTGAGCTTGTAGGGGTGGCCTGCCTATTTATTTGATGACTTTTGACAATGTTTATGGAGAAAAGTAAGCTTCCTGTATTTTTCTTTTTAAAATTTATAGGTAATTTAGTTAATTTACTTTATAGATTCTTCTGCTTGTTATTTTGGCCTTTGCCCACCCTGAAGAGATGCTCATTTAAAATTACTTTGTTTTTCTATAATAAATCTATTTAATTACTCTCAACTGAGTGTCCGAGTTTGGTTGTCGACCGAAGGGGATCTTTTGCATTAAGTTTTTGTTTTGTTTAAGAAATCCACCACCCCAACACATTTTTTTTCCGTTTATTATGCCCATGTTGTTTTCCCCTAGACTATGGGCTCAATAATTTATTATCTGATAACACAGTTTAAGAATTAACATTAATGTCAAGGGTATAGGTAGAAGAAATAAGCGCAAACGTCAGAGCATATCCAAACATCCCAAAGGCCCCATAATCACCTTATAGACCCCAGAATGTTAAATATGAAATATATTTTTCACTTAAGCGTATATATGCGCTCATTTACGTTCCTTAAGTAAATATACAGCTGCATCTAAAAATCACATACTATATATGCAGAAAAACAGTATTCTATACTGCAGTGTTTCTCAACCACATTCCTGTAGGACCACCAGCTCTGCTCATTTTCCATGTCTCCTTAACCAAACACACCTGATTAAGATCTTCAGCTCGTTAGACCTGTTATGAGTGTGACAGATAAAGGAGACATCCAAAACATGCAGAGTTGGTGGTCCTCTAGGAACATGGTTGAGAAACACTGGAACAGGAGGCTTTCGTCATGATAATTAATCTTATTGCTCCATAAATAAGCATGAACGATAAGACAGGATAGGTAGACAGTATGTATTATTATCAGGAAGTCCTTAATATAAAAAAATTGTATGTGGGGGATACCCAAAATCTGTATAAAACCTGGATGAACTACAACTTTCGATGGGCATTTTACAATCCCATGAGGCCTCAGGAGAGGATTTATGACCATCACAAATGATGCTAATAGGTTGTTAAAAAATAACAGTTCAACACAAGTAAGTTAGCATATCTAAATTAATTTGCGCACATTGATTCTACATACAACATCATTTTTGAACACCTTCAGACATAAGTTCTAAATACTCCCACTGAGAAGAAGATATACATTGTACACAAAAGAAGATATATCGAAGAATGGTGGAAACCTGTAACCATGAACATCCATAATCGGAAAAAAAACAGAAGTAGAAACAAATGGATGTCAATGGGTTTAACAGAAAAAAAAGAACAAACTCAAATTGGTTTGGAACAATCAAGAGTGAGCACTTTTAGGTGAACTATCCTTTATATCATTACATTAGGATCATAAGAAACACTGCTGTGGTCTGTTGGAATCAAATGTTATGGCCTCCCCAAAAATGACATTTGAAAAGGTTTGCTTCTGCTATGCTATGAACAGTAAACATGTAGACATGATATTAGCATAAACACTTCATGCTGAATATTTGCTTCCTCTCTGCTGAGCCACTGGTGGGTCGTGACCCAGATTAAAACCCACTACATTAAATAACATTTCTGAAGAAATGGAGTCTGCAACTATTCACAGGATAACTGTAAATCAATTTCACTTTACAAAATCATTTTAGAGGATGTACTTTATGAGGTCAGTTCCTCTGAAGTTCACAAATGTTTATGATGCTAATTAATATGATGATGATTATTAAATGTGTAACCTATAAATGGAACATTGGTTAACAAAATTGGTTAACATTGGTTAACAGAATTAAATGCACTTCACTGTGAAACATATATGTTTTTGTTATTAAGTTTAATGTGACTTGCACAGTAAAAAAAAAAAAGATAGCAACTTTTTGTGTTTTAACATCAGATGAGCCCTGTAGCATTCATTTTAAAGACTAAATGCAGCCATACGTACTTCTGGCTACATAATTTGCAATCTCCAGAAATGTACAGTATATAGGGCTTTGTTTTCAGAGCCCATGTTGAACTAAATTATTGAAAAATAATGTATCACCACCTCTAAAGTGCATTATTTTTCTAATAATTGAATGGTCCATTGAACATCTTGCTTCAACTCCACTCATGTAAACAACCTGTGGAAATCTTGCTATGTGAAAATGGTAAAAAAAAAAGAAAAAAAAAAGTGTTGTTTCTGCTTAGGAATTTGCTAATGCTTCTTCAGCAAAGTTTGGATTTACTTCAACACAATTGGAAATATTATATTATTTAGTGATTTTCTGACAAACTAAATGAAAATAAAATAGGGTGTTTTCAAACCTTTTTAGAATAAACCCAATATTGGCACATCATTCAAAACTAAGCCTTTAAAAAACTTTTTAAGAAACTAAGAGTTTTTTAATACTTTAATACTTAAGAGAAATTAATACTTTTAAAGTGGTTTTATTTGTATTTTTTTTGTGTTAGAGCAGAATATATATTCTTGAGATCATTAATACAAACATCAAAACGCTATTAAAAATCAATGATCAAAAAGAATACTGACCAGCATAGATGTGGTGTCCATCCTTTGTCGCAAAGAGTGTGAGAATCAGGAGCTTCGCGATCATGACTGACAGCATCACTGTTGGGGTAAGTCAAGTCACAGGCTTTTAAACTTCAAAGGCTGTTTGTCACGTGCTCAAGAGGAACCGGGAACAAACTGAATCAACAACTTCCTCCTTTACACACACACACACACACACACACACACACACACACACACACACACACACACACACACAAGAAAGTTTTTCTTTATAATAAAAGACATGAACAGCAGACTCTGGGAAATTCACAAAAAAGTTTGTAATGGATGTCTTTTTTCATCTTCAGTGAAGTTATACGTGAAGACTGAGAAACTCCACACAAAATGATTATTAGACTGTTTTTTTTCACTTTTTAACAGTAATGATTTGTGACATTTATGCTTAGAAAAAACTGGGAAACTCTTCTCACTCACTATCATTCAGCTTAGTCCCTGATTTATCAGGGGTTGCCACAGCGGAATGAACCGGCAATTACTCTGGAATATGTTTTCTAGTTCACCTATACCACGTCTTTGAACTGTGGGGGAAACCTACACAAACATGATTCGAACCAGCTACTTTTTTTTTTGGAGAAAATCTAATTATGAAGGAAGCACGGTGGCTCAGTGGTTAGCACTGCAGCCTCACAGCAAGAAGGTTGCTGGTTCAAGTTCTGGCTGGGCTAGTTGGCATTTCTTTGTGGAGTTTGCATGTTCTCCCCATGTTGCTATGGGTTTCATCCGGATGCTCTGGTTTCCCCCACAGTCCAAAGACATACAGTATTAGTGAAATGGATAAACAAAATTGGCCATAGTGTATGAGTGTGTGTCTATATGCGAGTGTGTATGGGTGTTTTCCAGACCTGGGTTGCCGCTTGAGAGGCACCTGCTGTGTAAAACATATGCTGGGATAGTTCATTTTGCTGTGGTGACCCCTGATAAATGAATGAATAATTATAAAGACAGAATAAAGTTAAGAGAGCAAAACTGAACAGGGGCTTAAAAATAAAAATTATAATTAAAAAAAAAATCAGGGCAAAAAAGTTAAAGCATTATTACAGGTAACATACCAATGACGACCTTCTTGTGAGGCGACAGACTAACCACTGAGCCACAGACTCAACACCGCCTTCAGTGAATAAATGTGTAGCTTACCTCATCATTAAAGCAAGTAAAAATTTCTTTTTTAAACTTTTTGGGGTGCTTTTACACCTTGTTTCAATACCCGGCGCGTTTCCCAGTTAACTCGGTTTGTTTGGTATTTTGTGAACACCAAAATCGCGCTCTGATTCGCGCCATCCGAGATCGCCTGAACAAGCTGTTCTCGACTCGGTTGAAACGAACTCTGGTTCCGCTTTGAAAAAGCAATACGGTTGTATGGCTATATGAAGAGAGAATGACGTCCTACCGGTAAAGTGCGTTTCATATAGGAAAGTGAAAGCATGCGGTCGGACTGAACCAGGCCAGTGCAGAGACTGCAGGAGATTTATTGTTGTTGTCGTCGTCGTCGCGCGCCTACTGAAGGGCGGTAGTGCCGCGGGGGCACTTTCAATCCAAGACTAGGGCATGTGCACTGCAAAGGTTGAGCCCTATGTGCACGTGCCTGGATTGAACCGTTTCAAAACAAATAAAAACAACTATAACATTAACTTTTTGTTTAACAAGACTCCTGATATACCTGGCCTAAACGTGAACCCTGTTTGTTTAGGCATCTATAGCATGTGTTCTTGTTTTCTAAGCTCTGCAGGTGACCTCAGTAACTTGTGGTTTGACATTCAGATTGGTTTTTGACCTCAATTCTGTTGTTCCAATTTGCACATGGGAAATTAAACTGAAAACAGTTACCCAATTATTATCCTGAATAAAAAAACATCCATTTCAAGTTAAACATAATCTAATCTTCGCGGTGGGCAAACGATACAAAGCAAAAGCTATGATCTGCTAGAAAAATTGGCGAAATTACCATCTAGTATTTCTATTTTATTTTTAATGTATTTTGTTTTTAGGTCTATTGTTTTAGTTCATGTCTGCACTGACACCTTGAAAGATCAACCAAAGTTCATCTGCTTCATGATCTCTCGGTTCATCTGTAAAGAAATGCATCAGCCAAAGTTTTTAAAGCTTAAAATAAATAATGAAAACGTGAATGAACACAGTTATTAAGTGTCATATTTTAACAAAAAATAAATAAATAATAATATTACAAAAACTGACGGCCAATAGTGCTAAAGATTTTTTTATAACTCTTGAAATAAGGCTATGTATGAGAAAGTATTTCCTCTTGATTTATATTTGGTGATGTCTGTGGGTGTCACCACAAAAAATTAAAGTACACATTTTAGCTTATAAGGACTCATTACTCACCAATCACCATCATAAATCAGTCTAACATAACAACGTCTTGACAGCTGAGTGGAATCCCGGAAAATAAACAGTGGAACAACGAGCAATGGGAGGTTCGCACGTGACTGAAACTTTAGCAACAGTGTTACCCTATCAATCCAAACATTTGATTCAGAACAGTCGATTTACAGGTGTGGAAGCACTCTTAGATAACCAAATTGTAATATAAATCCTTTCAAATTTGAATTTAATCACCGAGGCTACAAATTCACCGACCAAAATGAATAATTTAGTAGGCTATAGGCTATACTAATTAAGATTTAGTTTTATTAAGTAGGCCATCACTCGCTATACATTTACTAATGTAAATTAGTCATTTCCAGGTCATACAGTCGCTTCATTTTAAACATCTGAAATTTAATCCCTCATATACATTTAAATTTTTGTGGTATTTCAGAGGATAATTGTCAATTACCTGCTTTGTGGCAAAGTAAATCCACAATAAATAAGACAAACCATGGTGGCCATAATGGGTTTGCATTTTTTTATCAACTAATGCAGCTTAAGAAAACCACAATTACATTTCGTCGTCTGATAAAATATTTCTTTTGCAATAACAAATCAAATGTAGGATTTCAGAATCAAACAGCATATCCCAGAAATAAATAAGCAGGACTCTGGACATGCTCATCCGCAATGTGCAAACCTGTTTTTTTTTTTTTGCAATCATAACGGTCATAAATGTGCATACATATACATTAAAATCATTTATTTCTTTATATCTGTTCAACACAAAGCATAAAGGTCTATTAAACAGACAAACATCTCAAACACGCAGAAAGAATGGACGCTGAAGCTGAACATTTTGTCTTGATTCGTCTATTTCTGTAAACCGTGTTCTTGTTTGCTAGCATGCTTATGACAACACCCTCAGATGAACAATGGCGATGTGTGCAAGACCTTTAATGATACATTCCAATATTGCAAGGTGATGATGGTTATTAAAGGTTAATTGTTTGATTTGTGTTATAACTACTATCCATAGGATATCTTTTCCTCTTATTTTGTTACAGATACACAATTAGCACAGTTTGATGCATTGGCTAAAATGTATGGATGCCTCTTTCCAACACAGAATACCACAGTATAAGGTAACTTAAACTGTCCATTTTCTTAACATTCTGAGAAAAGTCAAACGTTTTAGAACTGAGAATTGACTTTTCTTGCAACTTGATGCAAAAAATAATTAGATATTGCAACTATTTGGTCTGAATCCTTATTAATTATTTTTTGTTTTTATTTGTAGACTTTTACAGAACTTAGACTTTACTCTAGAAATGAGTTTATATCATAAATTCAACTTAATATCTCAAAAGATTGAGGTAAAATCTCAGTTCTTTGATGAAAAGATCATATTTGTGTGGTGACTTGTAATTTAGAGATCTAAATTATATCTCATCATACATATAAATAATAAAATAGTCAAGAATAGTATAGCATAGTTGAGAAAATAGTCAGAATTATAGGGTTAATTAATTCATGTCATAACAATTGTTACTTTAAAGGGCACCTATTTTACTCCTTTTACAAGACATAAGATAAACCTTTGGTGTCTCCAGAATGTATCTGTAAAGTTTCAGCTCAAAATACCCATTAGTTAATTTATCATAGCCCCCAGAATGTGGCCATTTTGGTGTCTGAGCTGTTTTTGTGGCCTGTGGCTTTAAATGCAAATGAGCTGCTTTTCCCCATCCACCACGTGAGTGTGTTTCTCCTGCTTTACAGCAGATAAACAGCAGTCAGTGATAGAGACAGACTCGGATGAAGCTAAATAGAGCTCATTAGTTAAAAATACCAAGTAAGTTTATTTCATGTAGTTGTGGTGGAGTTTATTCAAGCCTTTCTGAAACGATGAGTCTCACACATTGAAGTGTTTACTGACACCATGCGGCTGTGGTGATCATATCGGTTAAGAATTAGATAATGATTTTACTTTCTTCATTACAAACATGCTGTTTTAAAAACGTTTTAAACTTATAAAAATCACAGAGAGTTGTAACAAATATTTTAATCCCTGTTATTATTATAGAAACATCGCGCCTGTCAATCGATCGGTGGATGGGGATAACTGCACTCCTACATCACATTGCGATGGCCATCAAAATCACTAGGACTTGGGTCCTATGTTAGCGTCAGGAAATGTTATAAAAAGAAACGTCTTGTGTTTATATCACTCCAATATGACTGTAGAAAACACTATACCTACAAACAGTTCTGTTCAAACAGCAAAAACAAGTTGATTTTCATCATAGGTGCCCTTTAAAAATAATAATGAAATTTATATATATGTGTGTGTGTGTGTGTGTGTGTGTGAAAATGCAGAGTTTGTTATTGAAACGGCAAGATAATATAAATATATTCATTCTGGTGGAAAAAGAGCTTCCATAAATACTATTCTAGCACAATAATGTGGGCAATATTCTAGCTACATGAGGAGGTTGTCATCATGACAATCTTATTGCTCCATTAATGCACATGGACAGAGCATGAAGAATGGGAATTTCTGTGAGGTAGACAGTATGTAATCTTAATCAATAAGTCCTTCTTTTAAAAAAAACAAGAAGAAAAAATGACTAATGTTGTTGTCTTGATGACTGCAGTAGTTCAATGGTTACATACAGAAAAACATAAAACACACAGACAACCATACATACACACAATCTTTCGCAAACCCACCCACACACACACCCACATACCCACACAATCATACCCACACACACACACACACACACACACACACACACACACACACACACACACACACACACACACACACACACAATAGTAGACTTGCCTTTTAATATGCATTTGTTATTTTGTTACAAACAAAATGAGTTGATAAAGCACCCCTGTGTGTTCTCACTCACCCATTTAGATAAAAGACTTTAGTTTTTTTCTTTTAAATGCGCTCCACTCTGTACAAAGACATGGCACGCAATGTTACATGTTATCACACACCCGTCTGTCTATTTTTGTACAATTGCATAGAAGTGTAAAAACCTTTGTTTAAAATGAATAAACAATTCTAGACTTTTTTGCCGTAAGAAACTACCCAAACTACTAAAGATCAAATCTACAATGTGGAACCGCGATCCTTCAGAAAAATAGATTTTTATTGATATTCCCCATTGTAAACATATCCGGTCCAGTTGTTGACACTACAAA